GCTAATTTTTTCTATGTATATTAGTTGGCCAATTAATTTCTTTCTATTTATAGTAGAGACTGGGTCTCGCTCTTGCTCAGGTTGGTTTCAAACTCCTGAACTCAAACAATCCACCCACCTCGGCCTACCAGAGAGCTAGGATTACAGGCGTGAGCCCTGATTTCTTCTTTGACTCACTGGTTATTTAAGAGTATGTTGTTTAATTTCCACTGGCTCATTTACTCTAAATTCCAAGGAGTTAGAGTCTCTTTCCCAAGGACAAAGGCCAATCAAAGTCTTTGTTATATAATATATAATACAACAATCACATAGATTAACCCTGAACACTGTTGGAATAGACTGTAAAAGAGCATGAATACCAGGAGGTAACAATAACTGGGGGCTATTCTGGAGGCTATCTAGCACACAGTCATTGACTCAATAAGTTGGCTAGCTTAAGTGCTACACTGAAAATTCCTTTTCCCTTTCCATCTTCCCAGTAAGTCAGATTTTCTAGTACAAAGTGACTTTGTATAATCAACAGCACCATGCAAGGAAACTTCAGAGACCCAGCAGTGCCCTAGTGAGGTACCAACTTTACAGACAGTTTATTTTAAAGTGTTGTGCATCAGAATGTATAGTTCTAGATTTTTTCTTTTTTTTTTTTGAGACAGAGTCTCGCTTTGTTGCCCAGGCTAGAGTGAGTGCCGTGGCGTCAGCTAGCTCACAGCAACCTCAAACTCCTGGGCTCAAGGATCCTCCTGCCTCAGCCTCCCAAGTAGCTGGGACTACAGGCATGTGCACCATGCCCGGCTAATTTTTGTATATATTATGGCATTGGCAATTAATTTCTTTCTATTTATAGTAGAGACGGGTTCGCTCTTGCTCAGGCTGGTTTCGAACTCCTGACCTCGAGCAATCCGCCGCCTCGGCCTCCCAGAGAGCTAGGATTACAGGCGTGAGCCACCGCGCCCGGCCAGTTCTAGATTTTCTTACCTAAACTTAGAAATTGTCTATTTTAAGTTTTTTTTTTTTTTTTTTTTGAGACAGAGTCTTGCTTTGTTGCCTAGGCTAGAGTGAGTGCCGTGGCGTCAGCCTAGCTCACAGCAACCTCAAACTCCTGGGCTCAAGCAATCCTCCTGCCTCAGCCTCCCAAGTAGCGGGACTACAGGCATGAGCACCATGCCGGCTAATTTTTTCTATATATATTATTGGCAATAGTTTCTTTCTATTTATAGTAGAGACGGGTCCACTCTGCTCAGGCTGGTTTCGAACTCCCGACCTCGAGTGATCTGCCCGCCTCGGCCTCCCAGAGAGCTAGGATTACAGGCGTGAGCCACCGCACCCGGGCTATTTTAAGTTTTTAATTCATTGGCCAATTGTATTTGAGAAGCCCAGCTATTCGTTTATTCAACAAATTTTCATAGAGTGCTTATCATGGATCATGTGGTATTCTAGGCACTTAATGCTTCATCAGTGAACAGAACAGGCTCCTTCCCCGTGGATCTTACATTCTAGACTGGATATTAGGTTACTAAGTGTGAAATGTCTGATTCCCTGAAGTAGTAAGTGACAGTTGATATCTCTCACATCTTACTTAGACACTTCTTGTTTTATTTTTATTGGAAGGTATATCCTAAGTCAAATGCATATTTTGGCTTGTGATTATCTTTCAGATTTTTTTTAGAGCAATCTTTGTGAAACCATGGATAAGTTAAACATTCATGTTATTTTCAAATAAGAGTTCTGTTATGGAACAAATGTTGTGCAGACAACTCAAAATATCAACAAAGCGTTTAGGCAGGATGTTGCTAATGAATGCACAGTACGTTGGATGATTTGAGAAATTCCATTCTGGTGAGTTTAATCTTGAAAATAAGCCCCGTGAAGTAACCTGAGACCAAGGTGAATAATGATGAGCTTAAAGCTGTAGTGGAAGTGAATCCATCTCCACCTACTCATGAATTAGCAACAAGGTTTAATGTTACTATTCCAACAATATTGGACCATTTGAAACAGATTGGCAAGATAAAGAAGCTGGATAGATGGGTTCCACATGAATCAGACAAGCATCAGAAGAGAAATTGTCTTGAAGCTTGCCTTTCTTTGCTTTCATGACATAAAGACAAACCATTTCTACACTGGTATTTGTTACGTGTGATGAAAAATGGATTCATTCTTTTTGACAATTGCAAGCATTTGGCACAATGGTTGAATAAAGATGAAGTGCTTAAACACAATCCAAAACTGAATATGAAAAAAAAAGCTAATCGTGTCAGGTGGTCCAATGCTGGTATTATCCACTACAGCTTCATGAAACCTGGTCAGTGGATGACATGGGATGTCTACTGCAATTAATTGGATGAAATGGTGAGGATGCTTGCAATTAAGCAGCTGAGATTGGTAAATAGAGATAGGCCAATCCTCTTGCGTGACATACATATCACACAAACAGCACTGCTCAAACTACAGAGGCTAAACTTGGAAACTCTCTGTCATCCACCATATTCACCAGACCTTGCACCAACTGACTGCCACTTCTTCCAGGCTTTGGATTATTTCTTGCAAGGAAAAATATTCAATTCTCAACAAGCTGTGTATGGAAAACAACTTTTGAGATTTCATCGCCATTTGCTCTCCATGCTTCTTTGCTGCTGGCATACACAAGCTACTGTTAAAATGGCAAAACCATGTTTAGGCCATGGGTCGATAGCTTAGGCGCATACTTTGATTAATTTTACTGCTTGTTTGAGATAGAATAAATAAGTTTTGATTGGAAATCAGACATTTCATATTTTATGACCTAATAATAAATGAGAAATGTAATATGTACCTTAAATAGGAGGTTAGGTAGCATTATTAATAGCAGGGTAAAGGGCAATGGTGGAAGAGTACATGTAGGATAGGGGAAGGATATAATCTTAGATAGGGGCCCAGGGTAGACGTCATTAAGGAAAGGAGTTAGCTATGGGTTAGTTAACCTGGGGGAAAGAGTCTTCCCAACGTGGGTGGGAACAGCCAGTACAGAGGGTGTAAGGTAGGAGTGTGTCTTACATTCCAGAAATAGGAGGGAGTCCATTGTGGTTGGAGCCCATGAAGGAGGGAGAGAGAGAGCTGAAATTAGAAGAGGTAAATGAGGAGGTACAGATCTTAAGAGGACATGAACTTTAGCTTTTACACTAAGCTACCATTCATTTATTTAATTTTTTTAGAGACAGGGGTCTCAATATATTACCCATGCCGGTCTCGAACTCCTGGCAACCCTCCTGCTTTAAGCAACCCTCCTGCTTCAGCCTCCCAGAGTTAGTGGGATTATAGATGTGAGCTACTATGTCCAGCCATTTTAACCACATTTAAGTTTATAATTTGTTGACATAAGAATATTCCACATTGTTGTGTAAACATTACCACTATCTATTTACAGAAATGTTTCACATCCCAAACTCAGTATTCATTAATCAGTAACTTTCCATCTTTCTTCCCACAGCCCCTGGTAATCTCTATTCAATTTTCTGTCTATGAATTTGCCTATTCTAGGAATATCAAGTTAGTGGAATTATATAATATCTGTCCTTTTGTTCTCACTTATTTTTGCAAATTTGACAGTTTTACATTTGACAGCAATGAACTTAGTTTGGTTGTTTTTACATGCTTGCAGCTGGTGGTAATATATATTGTTTTACTTATGTTTATTTTATAAAATTTTTATTAACTGGTGGTAGGTGAAAGTAATTGAAAGATGATGCATATAGTTTTGAGTATTATATAAATAGACATCTAATTTGGAGTACAGTGCTGCTTTTAAACACAAATGTTTTATATATAAATCTAGCTTTTTTAAATCATGCTTATATGTATATTTTTTCCAGCTACTGCTGCTTTTCTGATGACAAATTTTTTTTTTTTTTTTTTTTTTGAGACAGAGTCTCGCTTTGTTGTTCAGGCTAGAGTGAGTGCCGTGGCGTCAGCCTAGCTCACAGCAACCTCAAACTCCTGGGCTTAAGCAGTCCTACTGCCTTAGCCTCCCCAGTAGCTGGGACTACAGGCACATGCCACCATGCCCGGCTAATTTTTATATATAATGTTAGGGACCGACCTTCCACAGCCCCACCGGACAGAAAAGCAGAGACATCGAGGATGCATTCACGCAAGAGGAGGTTTATTTTCTGGCTAGCCAGGGTCCAAGCCCCAGAGCACCAACGCAGTGGCCACTCTCGCAGGCAAGGACCCCGACCGGAACAACGGCATGCCTTTTATCCCCATGGTGCACAAGCTGCGCACAAGCCGACTATGCATGGATCATGCGTTGACCTTTAAAATGATTGGTTGCCCACTATTGCCTTTTGAAATAATTGGCGGGTTGGTTGCCCTCTATTGCCTGATGGGCCAGTTGCCCGTGCTTTAATGACCTCATCCCATAATTCCCCTTACAGCGGTGTAGCGAGCAAGCAATGACCAGAAGCAAAAGTTTGCGGTTAGCTCATTGCCCCACCCAAGTAAATTCCCGACAATTGGAAGAATTCCTCTGCCCTTCCTCTGTCCTACAAATTCCTCTGCCCTACAATATATATTAGTTGGCCAATTAATTTCTTTCTATTTTTTTATAGTAGAGACGGGGTCTCGCTCAGGCTGGTTTTGAACTCCTGACCTTGAGCAATCCGCCTGCCTCGGCCTCCCAGAGTGCTAGGATTACAAGCGTGAGCCACCGCGCCCGGCCTCTGATGACAATATTGAATTGGTGTTATGGTTGAACATTTTATTTTATTTTTTTATTTTTTAAGACTAGTCAAGTGCAGTAGTGAGGAGGGGGGAAAGTAGTAGAACAAGGAGTTCAATCTGTAACTGACTGTGAACAATCACGTGAGATAACTCACTACCTTCGGACCAGCCTGAACATTTTATTTTAGACAATGTGTAATCCAAAATATTCTTTTCTTGTTTTTAAATACTGTTTTTAAAGGTCAACTCATGCAGAAGTACCTGTTCTAATCTTTGTGTTTTTAATTTATTTTGTATTCCAGGTATCTCTTAAGTTGTCTCCTAGAGCGGGTAGTCCTGCTTCCTTTATCCAGCTACTTTCTCTAATCATGAAATGTGGATATCTCTTCTCTACACATTACCTCCATGATTTGGAATGGAAAAGACCAGGTTGTTTTTTTGTCCCACCTCTCAGATTCTACAAAGAGAAGCCCTTAAGATGCGGTTATCCTGCCTACTTCTCCAGAAAGAGAAGCAACTGATATGGGTGTCTTCTGCTGCTCTTTGCTTAATTATAAAGAAATTGTTTTACAAGCTGAAGGTGGATGTTTCATTTGAAACAGGTGCTTAGGTGGTGGTATTTGTGAATTCTTTTTGTTCCAAATGAGAAGACTAAATAAATAGCAAATATGGATGACTTCAGGGTTTTTTAAATGTCTTCCAGTTTCAGCCACTATCATGATAAGCACAGTTGAGACTGCAGCAGTGAATTCCAAATATGCATTCTAATTTGAGATGAAAGATGCTAAAAAATTACATATATATCTATATCCTAGCTCATTATGCTGTGACACAGATTTACAGAATAAGAACAAAGGTCTAGTTTTACAATTAAACCTTCGATGTGATAAAAGAAGCATAAAGACAAGATGTCAACGTTAATTTCTTATGTGAACATGCCTTCCCATTGTCTGTACAAATATGCACTTTTACATGTGTAAATCCACATTTTCGGATCAGAAGAGGGATTTTTCTCCCAGAGAAGGAAGCTGTTTTTGGATTTCTTTCTCAGAAGTCTTTGGACATTTGGTACTTATAAATGATTTTCATTCTTCTAAGGAAGTAACAGATTGTGTAGCAATTAACCCTATGAATGCATGTTTGGGTTTAGTGAAAGGGCAGTAAAAGAAAACAGTTTGAGTCCAGTGATGGACCTGTTCACCCCCTTAGAAGGAGAAACTGCTATAAATTGCTTCATTCTTTTTTGTGGAATCTTACATACATTTGAGACTTTGTTTTCCGCATTGCTAAGACTGGAAGAAAAGTGGTATAAGTGGTTTTTCAGTTCAGAAGATGTGATAAACCGAGTAGTATGACCTGCCTTCAACTGAGGAGTAGGGGGAATGGGGAGAAATGAGAGAATTTTCCATTTTAACTCCCTCTTCTAAGAAACAAAAATGCCTAATGCAAATCCATCTAACTTTATGTGTGTTATATTTTATAGCTCCATTTTTTTTTTTTTAAACATAACTCTTTTCCTTAGACCCCAGACGGATACTTGGATGTTTGATTTATTCTAGGTGATAGGTGTAATGTTATGCTGAAAAGGCTGGGACTCAGGTACTTTCCTCAGTTGGGACTGAACTGTCTTACCAGGGAATTGGCTTCAGAAACAATCTTCCCAAACTTGTGGATGGGTCATTGTAGTTTCAGGGCATGGAAAAGAAACCTCAAACAAGAAAAATTGTTCTAATAAGAAATAGAGATTTTCCCCTTAACAAAGTTATACAATATAATGTACAGACTATAGTAGAAAACTCATTGCTTCCAAATCAACAGAGGAACATTGTACATACTGTCAGGTCTTTACATAAGAAGAGTAAAACTTTTATGATTCTTTGTGAGTACAGAATGAATTTAGAACCTCTTAGATGAAATTAAGAACAGAATTAGATCATCTCTGTGTTTTTTAGAATGTTTGCTTGGGGCCATGCATGCTGCAGTGCTGGGAACTTAGTGTAGATTCATCAAAATTTGAGTGAGAGGAATGGCCCCAAATAGGAAATGCTGAGCACTCTTAATGATTAGTGAGATTGATCAACCAATTTGAATTGGGATTAAAAAAAAAGAATTTTGGTAAAATTATTACATGATACAGATGAAATATAATCTCTTTTAATTGAGGACAATCACTAAGTCGTAATGCATAGAATTAACTTTGGTTAAAGGTAACTTAAATTTTTCTCTGAATAATCTCCAAGCCACTTCCTGATGTTTTCCTTTAGAATTTTGGAATTGTTAAAGATAGAATGAAGTCTGCATACATGGTTCCCAATGGTATGTTATGAATATCTTATGAAAAATTTATACCTTCCAATTATCTGTTATCTGTCTTCCCCATGTCCTTTGGCAACTTTTTTGGTAGGATTGTTGGGCAGGGGATAGGGTACTTGTATTCATCAGCACCGGTGAAACCAGCTTTGGCCCTCTGGTTTGAACAGGTATTCGACTAAGCTTCTCTAGATGCTTTGTATTTTTCCATCTCTTAGTTCAGACAACTGTGTTTAATGCTTTCAGATTCTATTCTGCATCTTCCATGGCTGATATTAGATGTTACTTAACAAAGTGGGTATATTCCAGTTGTAGTTGCCTAATGTTTACTTATACCTCTGTATTTTTTCTTGTCTATTTTTGTTCCCTTCTTGAAGGCAAAAGCTGTAATTTTAGGCAGGACTATCCTTAATATGGAGTTGTGCATCCTTCCTTTCCCTTGCTCTTACATGTTAGCTGGCAGTTTCTCTTTTGAAAAGTTTGACAAAAATGGGATATGTGCAATAGGAATATATATATATATATATGTATATTTTAATACTTGTGGACAAATGTTACAAGTTGTTTAAGAACAACAAAATCACCAATGTCTTCCATTTTGAGATGTGTATAGTTTTGTAAGCATTAGTGCTTGGTAGCATATTGTAGTGCCATGTTAGGGGTTAGTGCATGAACCTAGTAATAATTTTACACTTCAGGATGAATTGTTGATTATAACAATAGTGTAAAAAGAGTGAAAAATCTAGCCTTTTTTTCATAAATATCCGAATCTGTGATATTCTCCCTGGGGAAAGGAGATTAAGGCCAAATAAGTGTCATTTTTGAATAGAAATGTGGGGTCAAAATCTTGAATATTGTGTTTCAGGATATTTTGGCTTTCCATGAGGTAGCTGGAAACCCTTTTTATTTTATGAAATCTTAAAATGAGCCCCCGTTTCCTGATTCCGCTTGCTCTTAGTTTGATGTGATTTTCTTCTTAAACTGTCTTCATATTAATTTGTCTTTTAGATTATTTTCCCATTCCTTGTCTCTCAAATTATTTTACATTTTGCATGTCATACTAAGATGCCATATTGTTTCAGTGAGTGCTTTTTAAATCTGCAGACCATTTACATTTCCTGTCTGCAGCATGCTGTGTGTAAATACTGTTAGTAATTCAGAGTATCCTAGATTATTTGTAATAGGCTCTTCCTACTGCCAAATCTGCTGAATTGTGTATTAATGGAATTTCAGACCTTTTCATGAGAATTGGAGATACAGCTGGATGGCAAGTACCTAGGTTGCTATGAAATAAGTAGACTCTTTGCCTTGGTTATAGAAAGCCTCAGACAGCTTTCATTTTTTACTACTTTCCTTGTGGACAGTTGTTCTGAAAGCGTTAAGATAGTTTTCTATAGAAAACGAATTCCTACCTCTAAAAGCTACCTTGAGAACTTGGAAGTGGCAGTTTTCTGAGGTGATTCTTAAATCTCAGTATTAAAGATTTGAATCCAGGATTTGTTGACATAGATTCTATAGCTAGTATGATAGGAAACACAAAACTGTTTTAATGTGGTGTATCTTGTATACAAGCAAGTTAGAATAAGAAGCTTCTGGCAGCAGATCTCCAGGGACTCAGGTTTAGATTCTCATAGTATACTTAAAGTAGTTGTACTTTGACTCAAGTAGTTTAGTGCCTGGGAGAATCCATTTCTGAAAAGCATTTAATTTTTTTAAAAAAATACCTCTGTAAAGGTAATAAATGCAAAATAGCACAGTATATATAGGAAAGGATATTTCCTGTTGCAAAAAAAAAAAAGCCATAAAATGAACTAATAATTTTCAAGAGGTAGAATTTTAATAGCAATAACAGTTTTGCTTGTATAGTAAATTGCATTAACAAGGTTGTACAGTAAAATAAGTGAATGACTTGAGTTTGTGGGGCTCTGCAATCAACAGAGTTGCACAAAAGGAAAAATGTTCTGGATAAAGAGCATATAAGAGGTACTTTCTTTTAAAATAGTGTGAATGTATACGAATATATCATTGTTTAAGAAATAACAACTTTTGTATAAGTTAAAGGTTGAAAACCCTGTTTGTTTCCTAAAGCAAAGGATGTGAGCCGTTGAAATGAAACCTTTCTAGTGCTTAACTGGAAAACAAATATGCTTCTACAACTCCACTGAAGCTGTCATGTGGGTTTTGTGCTTAAGATATTCTTTCTAACAACAGGCATTTATTCTGTAGAATGGCATACTTTTCTGATTTGTCTCATTTTTCTCCATTACTTTCCTGTTCATTTTTTAAAAAAGAAGAGAAAAGTTTGTGTGTTTAGTATCTTAATAAAACCCAAGAACATGGATAGCTGGATTTTCCTAATGTTTATGGTTTTGAAATTGGGATTTAAAGGTGAAAAGTAAAAGCATTGAAGGGAATAGCCAATGCCTGTATGTTTGTTTGTGTGTGTGTTAAACCTTGTCTAATGGAGATGTGGCCTGTGGCCTGTGATTGCTTATTTTCTTAATAAGGAGAACCCAGCAAACTAATTTCTTTCTTGATCTGAGGAATCACACAGTTCATATCAGGTTACAATAATGGAACTAGGGTGATATCTTACTCCCATTTACCTCACGTCCATCTTTGCCATTTAGCACCTTCGAGATCCCTGAAAAGATTGGATTTATGTTCCCTCGTTTTCCCAGAGGAAACAAATACTAAAAGATAAGTGGTATAGATCTAAGAATATAGTGTCTCTTAAATATTTAATTCTTATATGACAACTCTTAACAGATAGAGAAAAGGCTATTTTAAGTTGATTATAGCTTCTCTTTGAGTATCCTATACCATCAGTTGGTGTTAGAGACATCGAAACAATATTTAGATATCTGCATGATCATGGGGACGGGTACATATTACAGTGATGTCAATAGTTCCATTACTTGGAACTTTTAAAGATTACCCTTCACAGCCATGTCAATAGTCCTAAATGCTAAAATATGCTACAAGTTGTCATAGTCTCAAAGCATGCAGTTAATTTCTTTGCAAAGTTATTGTGGTCTTATGTTTACTCTCTATGTACCTGTGATATGCAAAATATGAAGAGACCCTTGACCTCCAGGAGTTTACATTCTCATGGTGCTGTTGGTGCAAGAAAATGGCTTCTAGTTTAAGAACATTGCTCGGCTATTAATTATACCATATTTGGAAGGATCCCTTGGTAAACAATTTTAAAAAGCAAAGAGCTATGCTAAATTTCAGGGCATTGATGCTTGAGTTTACATTGTATTCGCTCTGCTCTTTATCATCTTTTCCCCAGGGAGCTGTACAGGTAATGCTTATTAATGTGAATCAGAAAAGAAACCATTCTGCCTAAGAGCATCTTCATCTCCCTACACCACCTATGCTCTTCTAAGATATAGCTGTCAATAAATGGCCAAGAATACTTAACTGCACCATAAAACTGTACATCTCTCCTTTCTCAGAGCTTTTACATCATTCTCTACTCAAAAGGGCAGGATTTGCATATAAGCCTTTTAAAATTGATTAGTGGTCCTAATTTTAACATTTTTGTTTCTGGCTTGTACCTCTGTTCTGAAGCAGCGTTGTGACAGATGTGCATCTGTCTACATTTCTAAGTAATTAACCTAAACATTCAGTTGAAACTTTGCATGTTTCCTTGTTCCATAATTCCTCTCAATCAAGGAGTTTACTTTGCATGTTTGTTAAACTAAAACTGGGTTTGGTTGAAATTGCAAGCAATATTGGCAGGCCCATAACTCTGATTTTAGAGTACTAATATTGTAATGCATGGCTGAACATGTCCAGTGTTGTGGTTACTAGTAATTTTACATATGCATTTGTTAATAATGAAGCAATAGAGACTTAAACCAATAGCTTGAATTTATTTGGATTATTAGTTTTCATTTTTTAATTAAAGATTATCTTACTTCCATTGAAAATGGGAAGTAGAAGATAAACAGGGGCAACCATAAGACATTCAAACTGTCAGGAATAGGGCATAACAGTGCTCACCCTTTAACCTCTTTCCTGGTTCCATTAGTCCCCAAGCATGCTTGAAAACAAAAGGCACAAATTACGCATGTTGAATAAATAAGCTGCTATGGCTATAATATCAGAAAGGTGCAGAGTTTCAGAAAAGGCAGGAAAATAAAGAATGCCAATATGGAGCATATAAAATAACTGGGTATGGGGTTTATGTTAAAATTTATGTAGATTAAGTTTGGGGTCTCTGAAAACTAGTATCTTGGAATTGAATAGTCAACATGCACATATTTCAGATGTTTCAGGATTTTCAGGTAACTAGGCAACCGTTGTGGATAGTACTGGTAATGACCAGCCATAAAGGACCCCCGTAAGGGAGACAGTCCTATTTTGTAGACATATGGATACATCTATGTTTTGGTTTCTGTTACTGTATTACATTAAAAAAATTTTGTATAGTCAAAGTTTTATCCTTGATAGTTTAGTCGGACTATATACAATTTCTTTTTTTTTTTTTATTGAGAGTATTCAGAAACAGGAATATATACAATTTCTTACCTAAAGCTTTTTTTTTCTTTTTAAGTGATGGGGTCTTGCTCTGTTGCCCAGGCTGGAGTACAGTGACTTACGTCACTGTAGCCTTGAACTCCGGGGTCTAAGCGGTCCTCAGCCCGAGTAGCTGGGACTACAGGTGCATGCCACCACATCTGGCTCATTTTAAAATTTTTGTAGAGAACAGGGTCTTGCTTTGTTGCCCAGGCTGGTCTCAAACTCCTGGCCTCAAGTGATCCTCCTGCCTTGGCCTCCCAAACTGCTAGGATTACAGGTATGAGCCACTGCACCTGGCCCCTAAAGCTTTTGATCCCAGGTAAAGAGGAGAGCATTTTTCACTTTAAAAAACATGAAAATCCTTGCCATTTATTTTATTTGATGAATAAATAGATCAATTTATTATATAGCTTAAAATTTTCCTTGAGATTTCTTACTTTGAAATAACCTTTATAAGTACAAATCATTATGACAAATAATGTACAAATGGGATTCATGTCTAAAGAAGCTAAATAGAAGAGAATTCCAGACTAAACTACATGGTTTTCACTAGATTACTTTCAGGTTTCATGTTCTATGATTAAAAAAAAATATTTTTCAAAATTATTTTAACTTCATATTCTTTGCTGTGGGACTTCACTACAAATACCCCTGGGAATGAAGTAAGTGGAATGGTAACTTTTCAGTGGTTCATAATTGAACTAGACTTGTCACTGCAATGTTTGTTTTCCATTCAAATATATGAAGTGAGGAGTCATTCCATATTTTCTCTTTGCCACTTAATGATAGCATGTCTGCCAACCAATGAAGACTTAAGGACAGTCTTTCTAAATTCTTCTGATTATTCCATTAAGGCTGTCAAAATAGTTAATATTGGAAAACCAAACATCACAGATTTCTCCAGGAACTCATACTCCTAAACAAAGTCAGAATAGATACCTTATAGTTTTCAGGTTTTGTCTCCCTTGGTAATGATATGCCATGTCATCACTTAACATGTATTTTTCTTCCAGAGGTAAACCATTATCATCAATTTGTAAATAACAGTAGTCTTGTTGCTTATCTTAAACACCCATCTCTTGTAGTTAAAAAGATTAGTATTAGAGAGCCCTTCATATTAGTTTACTTACTGTATAATGTCCACATTACAGTTTACTGTCCTGTCCTATAAGTATGGGAGTTGCTCACGATGTTTACTTGTCCTACATATTCTCCATTGCATCATTAGTATATGTTATAATGATGAAAGAATTTTATTGAATATGTTTGAAGTATTATAAAAGGCAGGTTGCTTTTTAATCTATGCATCTTTGGGATTTTGAAGAAGAAATTTTATTCTCTGATGTAAAAAGGAACTGTTACGAGAGTTGGAAACTCTGCACCTGTGTATATATATATATTTTAGCAATAAAGCAGCATGGGCTGAGAATGCACTGAAATTTCATTGTGTGTTATTTGTTACTTGGAATGAGTAATTTCAAATAGTACAGAAAATTATGATGGAGAAGGAGCCTTTCCATAGACCCATGCTCAAGTAGGCTCCAGACATCAAAGAACAGACCAAGGACAAGGTTTCTTGATACCTAGTTCTGGCAGTCTGTGCTGTATGTTGTCCAGTGGAACAGGCAGCCATCTGAAGAAAAATGGGCATCCTGTTTCAACTGACTCCATTTCCCTGTTTTGCCTACCTTATGCAAGGTCTATCAACAAATAAATATTTAGTTTCTGGTAAGGAAATAGCTAAATTATATAATCATGACACAACTATTGCAGGGAATCCTTCCCATCTGAAATAGGATATAAAGTGTTTAAGATGCTCTTACATCAAGTATGTAAATGTTAGCTTAGTTATCTCAAGAGGTTAACGTTAAAGTATAATAATTAAAAGATGCTTCTCTTGATTCAGGAGAAAGGAAAGGTTTTTTCAAGTAAAGTAGGTGTTACAGAGTTCTTTGGGACTGGCTATTGTCAAATGGGGAGGAACAAAGCTATGTGGTTTTTGTCCATGTGACTAATATAACTTCCTCTGATTTATGAAACTATTCATTTAATAAACATTTACTAGTACACTTCACTTTTCCAGATACTGTGCTAGATGGTAGGGTTACAAAAATGGAGTTGGTTTCTTTTTCTTTTTTTGAGACAGAGTATCACTCTGTTGCCCTGTGACGTGGCATGAGCCTAGCTCACAGCAACCTCAAACTCCTAGGCTCAAGTGATCCTTCTGCCTCAGCCTCCCGAGTAGCTGGGACCACAGGCATGTGCCACCATGCCCAGCTAAGTTTTTCTATATATTTTTAGTTGTCCAGCTACTTTCTATTTTTAGTAGAGACAGGGTTTTTGTTCTTGCTCAGGCTGGTTTTGAACTGACCTTTAGCAATCCATCTGCTTCGGCCTCCAAGAGTACCAGGATTACAGGTGTGAGCCACCACGCCAAGCCTAAAAGTTTTTCTAGTGTCCTTTATTGTCCTTGCTTATGGAACCAAATTTGGCAACTCAAAAGCATATTTGCAAGCAAATCAGAATTTTCTCAGTATAAAACCTTTTTAAAGGAAAATGTCCTATATGCAGTATAAAGTGGAAAGAATCTGCTATATATAAAAATTTTACTAGCTACATTTCAACCAAGTTAGCATCTATTACCACCACCACCTGGATATATAATTCCTTGATTATGCTAGTGTCACAGCCTCTCCTTAGTGTCTGCTTGTTGCCTTTCCCTCCCTTTCTCCACAGGACAATGAAAATGAGGTTCTAAAAAAGTAAATTTGATCTGTCACACACACACGCTTAAAATTCTTCGAGGGCTTCCCATTGTTCTTGGGTGAAAAATAAATATCCTTGCACCCTCTGGTTTCTGGCTACCTTTACAATTCTTGCAGGCTGCCTTTTAATAGGCTCAAACGACCTCACATGGTCTTGGCACATGCTGCTATTCCCTCTATCACCTTGTTAATGGCTACTCTTCTTTGAGACCCTTGCTGAAACTCCACCTCCTCAGAGAGGCCTTCCCTGAACCAGAGACCAGATCAGTTGCCTGCTTTATGTGCTTGTAGCACTGTCCCTTTTTCTCAAAACCCTTACCACTGTCATAATTTTACATGTCTGTATGTGATTATGTGAATGTGTACCTGTGACTAGATTATAAACTTTGTGAGGCTACACAGTAACTGTTTTTGCTTACCTTTTTTACCCAGCACCTAAGCATAATACCTTATAAATTTTTAAATAAATATTTTGATAAGCTACTCAGCCGAAGTGCTACATAAAGGAAAATTAGAGAAAACAATACTTCAGTGAATGTTTGATACTTTATCATTGCTTTCATTATTATCCTGTTAAGCTCAGTTTATAAAAGAGACAAATTATATATTATCCAGTCAATTTATTAAATATTACCTATAGAGTATCAGGTATCTCTATTTCACATAAGCAAAAAATGATTTTTCAGCATTAATAACAACTACTCCACAGAGGAATACAAATAGTCAACATTAAACCCAACTCTACTTTCAGACCAACCATGCAACTTTAGATCAGAAGACACATGGAACATTGCATCCTAATTCCTAAATTTGCAATCAAAGATGTGTTCAGAGATAAGTATTATGAAATTGATAAGCTAAAATAAGTTCTTAAAGCAAATAGCTATTAAACCTGGATAGAAGACTCTTTAATTTCTAATCTAAAAACAGCTTCACAAATCATTTGGAAAATCAGTCTAGCGGCAAACATAATAAACTGCATTTTCCCCCATTCTTGAAGCCAGTCTTTTTCAAGAAAAGACCAAATTGTTGAAGACAATAAAGCCTGAAACCTGATGCTTGAGCCTTGGTTCTGGATCAGTTTTCTGGCTTGGGCTGGTCAAGAGTCACTTCCTTCAGAATCTTCATTAGTGAACTTAAGCGAGTATGCGTTAACATTATCTTCTCTTTTAGCTAGGAAGAGAGATAGATATTAGGGCATCTTAAGCTTAACTCCTAATTTGCTAGTTGTAAACCCACTTCAAATTTTTAAACTAGTTTATATCTAGTGATTGGGAACTGGCAATGTCTCAACACATTTCAAGAACACATTCTGTTTCTGAAAGAACTTCATGCAACAACCTAGTGCACAATAAGATCCTCAGACATAAAGTTTCATGTGAAAAAAGACCAGCCACTGCTGAGCATCACTGTTTCTGTGAGGAATAGAATCAAATGTGGTCAGAGAGCTTTGTGGAGATAGAAGCATCAATTAGTCTTCACCTCCTTTTTCAGTGGCAAGAATTTAGCTTTTCTTTGAACCTTTTGTTAACAGTAACAAATACCTTTCTGATTTGAATATTCTGCAAATGGTCTTCATAAATAACCCTGGTAATTAGGTTTAGAACAAATGTTTTGTTGTAATTAATTAGATAATTTTCAAGAGTTCTGTCACATTAGAAGAGCTATATTGAGAACCACATTTAGTGGTGTTCCTCAGCAGGGCAGAGGCAGTGGTTTCTGGTCATCTCAGCTTGTCCGTCCCAGCATGGAATTTTCACCTACAATCAAGCTGGGGTTCCCAATATTCTTGGCCTATTGTGCCTGTAGTAGAACCAATACACTACAAATGGCCACTCTTGCCTGGAACAGAGCTTCGGCGACACAGAATAGGGGAATGAGAAATACTGGTGGCCCGCCCTTCATGGGGAGATACCATATCCCTTGACTGGGAGATGGGGGGGAAAGGATTCCTTTGTTCTTGGTTGCACCTGCCCAGATGGAGCCTCCCTCCTTCTGTGCTGAGGGTGGGGAGTAGAAGGGAGAGAACAGGTTATGGCTCAGATCCCACAGGCTCTCTCACTGTTCTTACCAAGATGTAGTAGATTTTCTTAAATATTTGTTTTTCTATTTATTGAATGCCTTGAGGAAAATTTCCACAGACTTAAGATCGTTGTTTTCTTTTTAATTTTCTTCAGCTTTGTGGACTCTGTCATTCCAATGTCATTTCCCATGTCAATTATTTTTAGGAACAATACTTACTGACCTTCTCATGAACTCACAGAGTAGAGACTGGTAAATTATGGGCCTACTGCCCATTTTAGTAAATTTTTATTGTAACACAGCCATGTCCATTTGTTTATGCATTATCTATGGCTGCTTTTGCACAATAATGGCAGAGTAGGGTAGTTGAGACTATATGGTCACAAAGCTTAAAATATTTGCATCCAGCCCTTTACAGAAGAGGTTTGCCAACTCCTGGGCTTAGAATGTTGTATAATGAGCTTAGCTAGCTTTGTAAAAAAGCAAACAAAAAAAAAAATCACTGTTCTGTCCTTAATGTTACTCCTAATGTTAAATTTTGAAAAATAAATGTCATTGGTTACAAAATGTGTAATTCACAAGGTATAAACTATTAACACTACTAATGACAAAATCAATAGTAAATTCTAAGATTGTTCTTTTCAGGATAATAAAGTTATAACCAAATTTTCACTCAGTATAAGTCTGCAAGCTACTAAAAAATCTTTCTTCAATTCAAAGCCATCAACTGCTCATAAAACCCATTTAATGCCAAATGTTTAGAGGCTTAAAAAAAAAAAAAACCCATTTAAATAAGAATTCTCAATAATTGTTTTAACCACACCTTCCTCTGAGACTTGGTAAACAATTATAAGGTAACTGCAGAGAGGACAGCTCTATGCAAGATGCTAATGTCCATTCTCAGCACAAAGGCGAATACAGGAATGCAGTAGATAAGCAGCTTTCCCCTCTTCCTGATTTAGACCTTAAAATATGACTTTAGTATTTTGCCTTGTCAATAAAGAAGGCCATACCAAGTATAAACCGTTATTGAGTATCACACCATTTCATCATCCCCTAGCTCATTGGCACAAATTATCAAGAGTAGTATATATTAAAGTAACTAAGAACCATCATGAAATTTTACCTTTGCAATATTTTCTCGTAGAGGTATATTGTGAATATCCATCTCAGATGCATTTACTATGGCTTTTGTTTTTAAATGATAGCTAAATAGAAAATATACAGAGAAAACATTAGTATCATACCACAGTTAAGATTATCAATGAACCAAACTTGCCATCTAAAGAAAAGATCTGTCAAGCAAAGCCTGCCCTCTTAACTGATTACAATTTTAAAACTCATGATGTACACTTAGCCCTCTTTCAGCATCCATGGATTTAACTGTGCACTGAAAATATTTTTTAAAATATGGATGGTTATATCTGTACTGAACACAGACGTTTTTTCTTGCCATCATTCCCTAAACATTATAACAACTATTTATATAGCATTTACATTGTATTAGGTTATATAAGTAATCTAGAGATGATATAAAGTATATGGGAGGATATAGAAAAATTATATGCAAATATTACACCATTTTATATCAGAGACTTCATTGTCTATGGATCTTGGTATCTGTGAGGGTCCTGGAATCAATCCGCAAGGATACTGAGAGATAACTGTATTTTGTTGGAAAAACAGATTCTCAATAAACAAATCAGAGAAGCTCTGTGCCTCATCCTACCCCTTCCAAGAGACAAAATTATCTCAGGATAAACTGAAGACAAAAACCAGGGTCTTATGAATAATGACGATGAGTATAAGCTTCACACTCCACCAGCAGACCTGTAGCATAGTCTGAAGGAAAGTAATCACATTGTGAGAATAGTGTTGGTTGCCTACCCAGTGGCCATTCTGCACATCTTTCATGCTATCAGAATCCAGATTTTGTCTAGGGCAGCAGTGTGCCCAGCCCTAGCAGATGAATCATAACTGTTGTAAACCAACTGTGACAAGCCTATTTTTAAAATTATTTTTATTTTTTTTCTGAGACAGAGTCTTGCTCTGTTTTTTTTTTTTTTTTTTTTTTTTTGTAGTTTGAGATGGGGTCTTGCTCTTGCTCAGGCTGGTCTTGAACTCCTGAGCTTAAACGATCTGCCCGCCACTCTGTTGCTTGGGCTAGAGTGCAATGGTGTCAGCCTAGCTCACAGCAACCTCAAACTCCTGGCTCAAGCAACCCTCCTGCCTCTGCCTGCTGAGTAACTGGGACTATAGATGTGCGCCACCATATCCAGCTAATTTTTTCTATTTTTAATAGAGATGGGGTTCTCGCTGTTGTTCAGGCTGGTCTTGAACTCCTGACATCAAGTGATCCTCCTGCCTTGGGCTCCCAGAGTGCTAGGATTACAGAGATGAGCCACCACACCAGGCCTGTGACAAGCATATTGCCACATACTTACTTTCCCAGCTTAAGGTGATCATGTGACATAATTCTGGTGACCATGAATAAAGAAATTTATGCTGATAAAAGGAGATTTTTTTCTTGTGTTCCCATACTCTCCATATCCTTTTTCTTCCTGTTGAGGATGCTAGCATGGATAGATGGAATGATTGTAATTAAAGCAGTCATCCTGCATCCAAGAGGAAAAAGCCAAGAGAACCAGAAGAGTGCTAACTCAAAGCCCTGTGATAGGCCGGGCGCGGTGGCTCACGCCTGTAATCCTAGCACTTTGGGAGGCCGAGGCGGGCGGATTGCTCAAGGTCAGGAGTTCGAAACCAGCCTGAGCGAGACCCCGTCTCTACCAAAAATAGAAAGAAATTAATTGACCAACTAAAAATATATATACAAAAAAAAATTAGCCGGGCATGGTGGCGCATGCTTGTAGTCCCAGCTACTCGGGAGGCTGAGGCAGTAGGATCGCTGAGCCCCGGAGATTGAGGTTGCTGTAAGCCAGGCTGACGCCACGGCACTCACTCTAGCCTGGGCAACAAAGTGAGACTCTGTCTCAAAAAAAAAAAAAAAAAAAAAAAAAAAAAAGCCCTGTGATGGTTGAGCAACTAAATGATTCCTGGAGCAGCCAACTGCCCCTGCCTCTTACTAATGCCACTGTCAGTCAGATTTTCTGTGATTAGCAACTAAAGTCATCCTGATAGAGATTTATTATCTTCCCAGACCCATGCCACCAATACTTTCCTAGTTTCTACTTAACTGACTTTTGATCCAACTCATTTTAAAGATTAAGAAATTAATCAAAATCCCAGAATGCTTTTCAAATTTATGTTAAAATTTTTTATTTTTACTTCCCTAGCAAAAACTCAATTATAGCTCTTCTAGGACATTTACTTATACCTGTTTCCAAAAAAGATTTGAGATTACTAATAACACATGCTTAGGGATACTTTTATTTCCTCTTTAAACTTAATTCTTTTTTTTCTTTCTTTTTTTAAGACAGAGTCCCTCTGTCACCCAGGCTGGAGTACAGGGGCAACATCAGGCATCACCGTAACCTCAAGCTTCTGGGCTCGGGCGATCCTATTGCCTCAGCCTCCTGAGTAGCTGGGACTACAGACGTGCGCCACCATACCCAGCTAATTTTTCAAATTTGTTGTAGAGATGGAGTCTCAATATGTTGTCCAGACTGGTCTTGAACTCTTGGCTTTGGGTGATCTCCTGTCTTCGCCTCCCAAAGTGCTGGGATTACAGGGGTGAGCCACTGTTCCTGGCCCTAGGTATCTATTCTTGATCCCATACCTGGGAGTGGTATCACACATGAGAAAAACAACCACAAGACTGGCTATGGGATGGAGACAAACCCAAAAGGTGTCTACAGTAACATTATTTTGCAAAAGCTTATTACCTTCTAGAATTTTCTTTAATGAAAGAATTCCCTCTGAATTGTTCTAGGGTATGATTAATACATAGTAGGATTATAAGACATATTTTTTTTTGAGACAGAGTCTCACTTTGTTGCCCAGGTTAGAGTGAGTGCCGTGGCATCAGCCTAGCTCACAGCAACCTCAAACTCCTGGGCTCAAGCAATCCTGCTGCCTCAGCCTCCTGAGTAGCTGGGACTACAGGCATGTGCCACCATGCCCAGCTAATTTTTTCTATGTATATTAGTTGGCCAATTAATTTCTTTTTTATTTATAGTAGAGACGGGGTCTCGCTCTTGCTCAGGTTGGTTTCGAACTCCTGAACTCAAACGATCCGCCCGGCTTGGCCTCCCAGAGACCTAGGATTACAGGCGTGGGCCACCGCGCCTGGCCAAGACATTTTAAATGATCATAAAATTATGACATTATATTTTCATCCTAGCTTTAGCATCTTTTTCGTCCTTTTCAAGCATCTTCTTTGGTACAAACACTTTGTCTTTTCTAGAAGATCTTTTAATATTAATTTGATGAACAATATTTAAGTGTACTTACCACATAATTTTGTCACTGGAAAGGCAGAAGTGACCTCTCAAGGCAGCCATGGCAGCATGGGTAGAATATAGATGGAAACCAATGGGAATCCCACAAGGACCACAGAATAGAAGGTTATAAGTGCTAAAGGAAGGGAAAAACAGAATATGGGTAAGAAAGAATATCATAGAATTTAAAAAACAACCAGTCTCTGGAAGGATTCCAGTCACCTAAGACATAAGTGAAAATGATGCCATAATAGGAATAAGACTGGAAGAATGTCACATTTAACAAATGTTGGCCAGGTACAGTGGCTCATGCCTGTAATCCTAACATTTTGGGAGGCTAAGGTGGGAGGATTGCTTGAGCTCAGAAGTTTGAGACCAGCCTCAGCAAAAGCAAGACCCCATCTCTACTAAAAATATAAAAAATTAGCTGAGCATGGTTGCTCACACCTATAGTCCCAGCTACTCAGGAGGCTGAGACAGGAGGCTTGAGCCCAAGAGTTTGAGATTGCAAGTGAGCTACGATGACACCATGGCATTTGCCCAGGCAACAGAGTGACTCTGTCTCAAAAAAACAAAAACAAAAACAAAAATAAAAAACAGGCCAGGTACGGGGAGAGCGAAACCTTGTCTCTACTAAAAATAGAAAGAAATTAATTAGCCAACTAAAAATATATAGAAAAAAATTAGCCATGCATGGTGGGGCATGCCTGTAGTCCCAGCTACTCAGAAAGCTGAGGCAGAAGGATCACTTGAGCCCAGGAGTTTGAGGGTGCTTTGAGCTAGGCTGACGCCACGGCACTCACTCTAGCCTGGGCAACAAAGTGAGACTCTGTCTCAAAATAAATAAATAAATAAAATAACCCTATCTTGGGGTGGGGTGGAGGGACAAAATATATTAAATTTCTTTGTAATAACAAGTCTCATACCACACATATAGTACTGTAATTTTATGAATACAGGTAACCAAAAAGCAAGCCATGAAATAAAGTTGCATTAATTTGAATTAATTCCACATAGTAATTAATTAGTTCAGACAAAGCACAGTACTTATAGACAAATATCTTAGAAGAAACTAATATATGGAACAACACAATATGTAAAGAAATCCCAATATTATGCTTATGCATGCAATATAACAGAAATATAGGCATATGTCAATGATATTGTTGGTTTGTTTTCAGACCACTGCCATAAAGCGAATATCACTACAAAGCAAGTCATAAATTTTTTGGATTCTCAGGGCATATAAAAGTTATTTTTACACTATACTATAGTCTGTTAACAGGCATCCTCAAACTACGGCCTAGCACATTTATCCAGCCCTCCGGGTATTTTTGCCACCGCTGCCCGTCCTGCTTAGCAGCCCACTCGTCCTGGGCCCACAGTGCGCACTCTCCAACGGTCTGAGGGAGAGTGAACTGGCCCCCTGTTTAAAAAGTTTGAGGACCCCTGGAAGTGTTCAGTAGCATTATATCTAAAAATACAATGTAAATACCTTAATTAAAAATGATTTTATTGCTAAAAAATGTTAATCATCTCAGCCATCAGCAAATAATAATCTTTTTGCTGGTGTAGAGTCTTGCCTTGATGTTGATGGCTGCTGACTGATGAGAACAGTGGGTGCTGAAGGTTGGGGTAGCTGTGGCAATTTCTTTAAACAAGACAATGAAATTCACTGCATCAGCTGACTCCTCCTTTCACAAAAGATTTCTCTGTAGCATGTGATGCTGTTTAATAGCATTTTACTTGCAGTTTCTTTCAAAATTGGAGTGAATCCTTTCCAATCCTGCTACTGCTTTATCAAGTAAGTTTATATATATAATATTCTAAATCCTTTGTTGTCATTTCAACACTGTTCACAACATCCTCATCAGGAGTCAATTCCATCTCAAGAAATCACTTGCTTTGCTCATCCATAAGAAACAACTCCTCATGCATTTAATTATCATGAGATTGTGGCAATTCAGTGACATCTTCAGGCTTCACTTCTAATTCTACTTCTCTTCCTAGTTCTACCACATCTGCAGTTACTTCTTCCACTGAAGTCTTGAACCCCTCAAAGTAATTTTTTCCAAACTCCTGTTCATGTTGATATTTTGACCTCCTCCCATGAATCATGAATATTCTTAATGGCATCTAGAATAATGAATCCCTTCTGCTTCGCAATGCTTAGAGAAAAGAAGTAAAAATAAGATAAAATAAAATTAAAAAAAAAAAAATAGAATACTGAATCTTTTCCAGAAGGTTTCCAATTGACTTTGCCCAGATCCATCAAAGGAATCACTACCTATGGCAGTTATAGCCTTACAAAATATATCTCTTAAATGATGAAATTTGAAAATCAAAATTACTGCTTGATCCATGGGCTTCAAAATGGATGTTTAATCAGTAGGTATGAAAACAATTTCCTTGTACATCTTGGGTGACCAGGTATATTATCAATGAACAGTAAATCTATATTTTCATATCTCATGGTTTCTACCAGAGATATTTTGAATCTTTTTTTCTGATAGTAGATCTCAACAGTGGGCACAATTCAGTAAATCATGCTATAAACAGATGTGCTATGTGCTGTCATCCAGGCTTTGTTGTTCCATTTATAAAGCACAGAGTAGATTTAGCATAATTCTTAAGGGTCCTGGGATATCAGGAATGGTAAATTGAGCATTGGCTTCAACTTGAAGTCACCAGCTGCATTAGCCACTAACAGGAGTGTCAGCTTGTCCTTTGAAGACTGTCACTGATTTGTTTCTAGCTAAGAAAGTCCTAGATGGCATCTAATTCCAATACAAAGCTGTTTCATCTACACTGAAAATGTCTTGTTTAGTGTACCCACCTTCATCAGTGATCTTAGCTAGATCTTCTAGATGGGTGACTTGCTGCAGCCTTTCCATCAGCACTTGTTGCTTCACCTTGTACTTTTATGTTATAGGGATGGCCTCTTTCCTCAAACATCATGAATCAACATCTGCTGTCTTCAAGCTTTTCTTTGGCACCTTCCTCACCTCTCTAAGCCTTCATAGAATTGAAGACAGGCCCTTGTTCTCCGTTAGTCTTTCGCTTAAGGGAGTGTTATGGCCGGGCATGGTGGCTCACGCCTGTAATCCTAGCATTCTGGGAGGCCAAGGAGAGTGGATTGCTCAAGGTCAGGAATTCGAAACCAGCCTGAGCAAGAGCGAGACCCCATCTCTACTAAAAATAGAAAGAAATTAACTGGCCAACTAAAAACATATATATAAAAAAATTAAGCCGGGCGCGGTGGCTCACGCCTGTAATCCTAGCACTCTGGGAGGCTGAGGCGGGCGGATAGCTCGAGGTCAGGAGTTTGAAACCAGCCTGAGCAAGAGCAAGACCCCATCTCTACTATAAATAGAAAGAAATTAATTGGCCAACTAACATATATAGAAAAAATTAGCTGGGCATGGTGGCACATGCCTGTAGTCCCAGCTACTCGGGAGGCTGAGGCAGGATTGCTCGAGCCCAGGAGTTTGAGGTTGCTGTGAGCTAGGCTGACGCCATGGCACTCACTCTAGCCTAGGCAACAAAGCAAGACTCTGTCTCAAAAAAAAAAAAAAAAGATGACTGATCATAGATCACCATAACAGCTATAATAATAATGAAAAAAATTTTAAATTGTGAGAATTACCAAAATATGACACAAAGACACGACGTGAGCACATGCTGTTGTAAAAATGGTGCCGATAATCTTGCTCAAGGCAGCGTTGCCACAAACTTTCAACTTGTAAAAAAATGCAGTATCTGTGAGGTACAATAAAGTGAAGCACAATAATATAAGACATGCCTATATTTCATTGAATATTAGTACACAAAAGAAAAATTTTAATAAATTCAGATAGTGAAATTAATGATACAGCAGTGCCTCTGTGGCTATGGAATCATAGTTTCTGATTAAAAATTTTAATTTCCACAATTTGCCTCTGATCATTTGTATTGTCTGTGGCTCATTATTTTTGTTAAGAAAGTTACCACACTAGGTAGTAAGTCCTTACCCATACTCATAGAGCTGTTTTGGATTACCTTGCTCCATCATTAAGGGTTAGCATCATCTAACTTGCAGGGCCTTCCATTCTTACATTGGATCATGGACATTGGAGGATTTTATTAGAAGTACATACTTCCAATATACTGGCAAATATAACTGCTTCTCCATTTCCTTATCTGTAAAATGAGGTCAACTAGATTATAAAATCTTTTAGTCATAACATTCTGTGAATTTACAAGACAATAGAAATAATACCAACAAGGGGTGAAAAGTTGACTTGTCTTTGATTTGCTTTAAAAATACTTCAGGGCCAGGCGCGGTGGCTCATGCCTGTAATCCTAGCACTCTGGGAGGCCGAGGCAGGATCACCCCAGGTCAGGAGTTCAAAACCAGCCTAAGCATGAGCAAGACCCCCTCCCTCCTTCCCCCGTCTCTACTAAAAATAGAAAGAAATTAATTGGCCAACTAAAAATATATAGAAAACATTAGCCAGGCATGGTGGTGCATGCCTGTAGTCCCAGCTACTTGGGAGGCTAAGACAGAAGGATTGCTTGAGCCCAGGAGTTGGAGGTAGGTGTGAGCTAGGCTGACACCATGACACTCGGAATAGGGAGGCCCGAGAAGAGGAAGAGAGATGGGGGAACTGCCAGTCACTGGAGCAGTCAAAACACACAAAACATTTATCAATTAAGTTTGCCATCTTATTTGGGTGTAATTGATGGCACCTCAAAAGAATTATAATGGTAACATAAAAGATGACTAATTGGCCGGGCACGGTGGCTCACACCTGTAATCCTAGCACTCTGGGAGGCCAAGGCGGGTGGATTGCTCGAGGTCAGGAGTTTGAAACCAGCCTGAGCAAGAGCAAGACCCCATCTCTACTATAAATAGAAAGAAATTAATTGGCCAACTAACATATATAGAAAAAAAAAAAATTAGCCGGGCATGGTGGCGCATGCCTGTAGTCCCAGCTACTCGGGAGGCTGAGGCAGAAGGATCGCTTGAGCCCAGGAGTTTGAGGTTGCTGTGAGCTAGGCTGACGCCACGGCACTCACTCTAGCCTGGGCAACAAAGTGAGACTCTGTCTCAAAAAAAAAAAGAAAAAAAAAAAGTTTTAAAAAGAGTCAATCTACAAAAAATATTGAATGCTTAACTTAGTTTATTCCAAAAAGTAGTTTTCCAATAATATACTTTTCTTACAATTGGGTTATGCCTTTAAAAAGAGAAAAAAGTTCCTATATTATAAGGATTCTCACTAAAATATTTATGGCCAGAATGATACAATTTCAAGTATCTGTTTCAAAATATGGGGTGAAGGAGTTAAGTATGATTTTTTTTTTTTCTCAAATTATTCTTTTTTTGAACTGGATTCAGTCCCAGGCTGCTGCTTACATCAGTGGTCCCTTTTAGGTCGAGGCTGGAGGGCTTGCATCCCACTGGAAGGGCATGAGGCACCTGCGGCCACAGCAGGGAATTAACAAATGAAGGACCATAACTGCCCCTCAAGAACTGAAGAATTTATTAAAGTTTGAATACTGGGGAACATAGACCAAGGCTGTGCCCTGATTTTCCATTTCCCAAAGTCATACTTTAAGTTTAAAATTTCCGTTCTGCAAATTTCCATCGATCAAAAGAAAATATAGAACTTAAATCATAGGATCTTCTTAAAAAGAAGAGGAAAAAAACAGTTCTTCCCAGGAGTAGTTTTATTTTCTTTTCTTTTTTGGTGTCTTAAATGTCAATAATCACAAAAACTTCTGGCTTCTCTTCATTATAGACCTGCATTGCTGAATATGTTATTGCTTTGACTTCTGAGGGTGCTTGGACAATGAAAATTCTTCTCCCCACCCAATTGACCGTACTTTGAAATTTCTTTGATCGATATTAAGTACTTTCACTTCCTGGGGTATGAAGAATTCATCAGCACTGAACTTATAAAGCCATTCATTCAAAAAGTGAAACAGAAGAGACTGTAAGTCATCTCCTTGAGTTTCCACTTCTATTGTTTGGAGGGGCTCCACAGTCCCAGTATCTGTCATGTAACCAAACATGGCCATTGCACATTGCTCAAATGCTTCCTCCAAAGTATCTCCCCATGCATGTAACTGAACATCCGCTGTATGATCCAAATATTCGTACTTCTTATTGACTGGCGGATACTTGGCCTTGATCGCCTTCTGCTCCTCGGTCAAATTGTCTCTAACATCTGCCTCTTCCAGCACCATGATTGCCTTAAGTATGATTTTGATGAAACACAATTGGCCATGGATTAACTGTTCTAGTGTAGTGATGGGTGTATAGTTCATTATATTCTTCTGTCTGGTGTTTGTGCCATAACAATTAAAAAACAATGTACTTTACTTACAATCAATATAAGCAAAATTCCATTTAATACTGACACTTAGTTGAGCACAACCAAATCTCAGAGTAACAAAGCTATTTCTAAGTGTCAGCACACTATAAATAATGCTTTTTGTTCTGACATACAGCATGTTAAAAAAAAAAATAATAATGCTTTTTGAAATTAGTTGCAATAAACCGTCTACCAGTAACAGAATAATAAAATGTAGATGCAAGAAATAACCTTGTATCTATCTACCTTGTGACTTTGAATCCAGGAGGTATCATAACTGAAAAGCTCATGCCAATTTTAAGATGTTTAAATGTGGGAGAGGGAGAGTATACCTTAGAATTAATTAAATATGGTAGATTGAGAGGGATCAGTATCCTTCATATGCATTATTGAGATAAAATTAAAATTAGAACCCAAGTCTTATTTCAAAATTTATGCTTTATTAGCTATATCAGTAATCATCCTCTTAATTCATTCTCTGAGCCCATCTAGGTAATGAACATAAACGCTCTTTAAAAAAAAATCAACTTGTCGCGAGCTGTGCCATTTCGTTATCCTCTCCCTAAGTCCCATAGCTCTTCTTATTCCACAAATACAGAAACACATGGGACTTTCCCTACAGTGTTTTGCAAAGCATCTATACTAGCATTGTCTCACAGGAATATAATATGAGCCACATACGTGATTTTAAATTTTCTACTAGTCTTGATTTAAAAAAAAAGGAAACAGGCGGGTGCGGTGGCTCATGCCTGTAATCCTAGCACTCTGGGAGGCCGAGGCGGGCAGATCTTTTGAGTTCAGGAGTTAGAGACCAGCCTGAGCAAGAGCAAGACCCCATCTCTACAAAAAAAATAGAAAGAAATTACTTGGACAGCTAAAAATATATAGAAAAACTTAGGTGGCCATGGTGGCACATCCCTGTAATCCCGACTACTTGGAAGGCTGAGCCAGAGGATTGCTTGAGCCCAGGAGTTTGAGGTTGCTGTGAGCTAGGCTGATGCCACGGCACTCTAGCCTGGGCAACAAAGTGACACCTGTCTCAAAAAAAAAAAAAAAAAAGGAAACAGGTGAAATAAGTTTTAAAATATTTTATTTAAGCCAATATGTTAAAAATGTCATTTCAACATTTAATCATTCTTAAAAAGTGATCAATTTTTCTGTACCAAGTTCTTGAAACCTAGTGTATGTTTTGCATTCACAGCCTATCTCAATACAGAATGGCTGTATTTTTTTTTTTTTTTTTTTGGGAAGAAATCAGCGAAGGAAAGAATGGCTGTATTTTAATAGCCACATGTGACTAGTCGTTACAGCAATGGACAGCACAGGTCTAGATGCATTATCCTTCTCTCCAAAAGGAGATTCAAGGAGCTTCTGCCTCTGGCCCCATATCACCCAATTCCAAGGAGGCCATCACTCCTTCCTTCGCTGTCCCCTTTGAATAGGAAGAGGACTCCAATAGCCATAGGGAGAGTCTTTCAGTTGGGAAAGAGAAAGGGAGTTTCATGTTTGTTGTTCACTAACGCAGTATCATGTTTGTTCACTAATGCAGTTTCATGTTTGTTCAAGCTACCGAATTCTTCCTGGTTACTGGACAATGCAACTAAGAATTCCTATACTTTAATCCTAAAAGTGAACCAAACTGTGGTCAAAATGAATTGTCTTGCCGTGAAAGCCAACACTCAAAATTGAGGATTAAAATACACCTCTAACTTGAAAAAGTAAAAATAAGGAAAAATAGATTAAAATGTTAAAAAATTGAATAGCCTTGTAATACCAAACTCATTGAGTACTTACTTTGTCACTTGTAAACCACAATACTGGCTAGATGCAAAGTTTACAAGGTAGTATTAAAGTGCATAACATTCAACTTGTGTTTTTCCCTAGTTTCTCGGGTTATAGAAGAATCAGACTTGACATAGCTTATTACAAACTCCACATTAAATGCAAACTTAAAAGTCCCAGTATCTCAAAGGACTGTCATTTATAGTATGTTACTATTACTATAAACCAAAATGATATTTCCTCTTTTTTCCTCTTCTAGACATAACTTTCTTAGCCTCACTTCACTTGTACATGCCACTGGGGAGATGTAGCCCTCAGAAAGATCTTAAAACCTATACACAAATATTAGGCTGGGCGCGGTGGCTCACACCTGTAATCCTAGCTCTCTGGGAGGCCGAGGCGGGCAGATTGCTCAAGGTCAGGAGTTCAAAACCAGCCTGAGCAAGAGCAAGACCCTGTCTCTACTATAAATAGAAAGAAATTAATTGGCCAACTGATATATATATAAAAAAAAAAAATTAGCCGGGCATGGTGGCGCATGCCTGTAGTCCCAGCTACTCGGGAGGCTGAGGCAGAAGGATCGCTTGAGCCCAGGAGTTTGAGGTTGCTGTGAGCTAGGCTGACGCCACGGCACTCACTCTAGCCTGGACAACAAAGTGAGACTCTGTCTCAAAAAAAAAAACAAAAAAAACCTATACACAAATATTAATATAACTTTTCCATTTCATTAATATATCAAGTTTGTACAAGAGTCAAAGAGGTAAAAGTAACCTCCTAGCCAAGGCGGGTAGATCACTCAAGGTAAGGAGTTCGAAACCAGCCTGAGCAAGAGCCGGACAGTCTCTACTATAAATAGAAAGAAATTAATTGGCCAACTAAAAAATATATATAGAAAAACTTAGCTGGGCATGGTGGCACATGCCTGTAGTCCCAGCTACTGGGGAGGCTGAGGCAGTAGGACCACTTGAGCCCAGGAGTTTGAGGTTGCTGTGAGCCAGGCTGATGTCATGGCACTCTAGCCAGGGCAACAAAGTGAGACTCTGTCTAAAAATAAAAAATAAAAAAAATAAAAGCAACCTCCTATCCTTCAAATATACTGAATTGAATGGAATAACCTTTTCTTCTAGCACAACATAGGAACAAACTGTTTTCTCCTCGCACACGTCAGTTCCAGGGTCCTCAGTCTCAGGTCAAGGACTAAGAACAATCGGGAATTCTCAGTACATACCTCCCTTTGAGCGAATCTTCAATGCCAACTAGGAAGCGCGTTTCCAAACGGACGTTATTTGTGACTCCTATGAATACAAACACGGGTCAGAATGCGTACTTCTGCGGGCCTTGAAATAGAAATCCACCCCGTCGACTCATCATGGCCATTAAAAAAAAAATCAAGAAAAGACTCCCCCATTTCCCGCCCCTATCCCCCAAGTCAAGGGGTTAATGTCCTTACAAATCTTCATCCCCGTTTCTTCCACAGCTGTTTGTTTTTTGGTGTTTTTTTTTTTGTTGTTTTTTTTTTGAGTCACAGTCTTGTTCTGTTGTCCAGGCTAGAGTGAGTGTCGTGGCATCAGCCTCGCTCACAGCAACCTCAGACTCCTGGGCTCAAGTGATCCTCCTGCCTCAGCCTCCAGAGTAGCTGGGACTACAGGCATACCTGGCTAATTTTTCCTATATATTCTTAGTTGGCCAATTAATTTCTTTCTATTTTTAGTAGAGACAGGGAAGGAGGGGGTCTCGCTCATGCTTAGGCTGGTTTCAAACTCCTGACCTTGGGCGATCCTCCTGCCTGGGCCTCCCCAGAGTGCTAGGATTACAGGCGTGAGCCAACGCGCCCATACCCCAGCTGGTTTTCAGCCACCCAGTGAAGAAAGCCGGAACACCCCCTGGGGCCCGCCTTTCCCAATCGCCGCATCCAACTCACTGGAGAAGACCACGGCTCCAAGGGACAGCGACAGGTCCCAGGCGAAGTGCACTGAGTCGGCAAGCACGGCGTGGCACTGGGCGCAATGGAACACTGTGCACCTCTCGGGCTCCAGCCACCGCGGCAGCTGCGGGCCAGCAGCAGGCTCCTCCGCCTCTAGCTTTGCGGAGCCTAGAAGCGAGGATCCTTTCACTACCTGCGTGTCCCACTCCATGGAGGTTGTCAAAGAAGGTTCGTCAATCGGCCTCCTAGCGCCATCATTAAAGTCACCCCCAGGCAGCGCTGCACCGCACGAGCGATGCTGTTGTGGCCGCGCCGCCATCTTCCAGCAACAGGCGCCTCCATTTCAAACCCGCACCAGGCCCCGCCTCAAGTACGGTTCCTGCGTCCTCATTGGACGTCGTGGGCTATGGGCTCCACAGCCTCACAGACCCTTCGGCGCGGGCGTGTAGGTGAAGCGTGTGGACGAGCGGGAGTCAGTGAAGGCGCGAAATCGGCCTTCCTATTGGTTTGCGCCAGAGACCCCGCCTTCCAGACGTTTTCATCCAATGGAAGTGCAATGTTCTTCGTTTAAACTGACTATAAAGTCCTACTTGGTCAAAGCTGAGAGTGGCGCCAGAGTTTTGAACGGTGCCGCGTAGGTTTGGTTGTCCATCCTCTGCGGATCGACTGGATTGCTGATCGCGATGACCGTCCCCTCCCTGGAGGAGCTGGACTCCTTCAAGTACAGTGACCTGCAGAACTTAGCCAAGAGTCTGGGCCTCCGGGCAAACCTAAGGGTACGGGGCTGGCGGTGCGTGCCGTTGGGCGGGCGGGGTACGAGTTTCGGGGCCTTGGGGAGATGCGCAGGCTGCGAAGGGACTGAGCGGGCTGAGGTAGGTGTCCCCGCCCCTGGGGCGATAGATTTGGTTCAAGGTGGTCCCAGTTAGAATCTGCGAAACGGAAGAGAAGCCAAAGTTTTCACCTCCTTTGAGGCTGAGTTTTCTGGAGGCTTACATAGGCCTCTGCTCCGAAAGGGTTGGTTGCTTTGGGATTTTTTGGAAGTACTCTAGGGCACTTCTCAGTTACATCGATTAGGAAACGCAGGCCCCAACAGCCCAAGGAATGCCGGTTAATTTTAAGGCAGTTGAATAAATAATTGACTCAGCTTTTGGAAAACTTCAAACAATAACACTTCAGTAAATTGTATTAGTGCCTATAATCTCTTGATATTTTATTGAGGGACCTAATAGAAAACAATGCCTTTTAGGGGGCCACCTCCAGGGCGTAAATTTTTATAACTCAACCCTGATCTAGCATAAGCATTTATTTATTGCTTGCTGTTGTGGAGTCTCTTTCAAAGCCGCCAAGGTCTTTGACTCCGAGGCTGCAAGATGTTAGGGGAAAATGTGGTGTTTCAATATGGGGTTGGAGTTTTATATATTCTAGCTGATAATTCCCACAGAATACTAATGTCTACTCTGGAGATTTGTCCTGCAGGCTGTGACAGTTACTGAATGAATGCCTAAATCAGTCATCACAAATGTTTTCCAATGATTTGAACAAAATAATTCAGGCTCAGGTACCTGTTGGGGATGAATGACAAAGGCGCGTCCTTTGGGATATTTTTGGGCTATAGTGGTTAATGGCTCCTCAATAGTTCATGAACAAAGCCTTAATTTCTTAGTTTAAATACTTTAGGATTTTTGCTGAATTAATGAAATCTTTTATCCAAGGCTGCATCCCTGAACACTTGGTACTTTTGTCCATTTTTGTGCCATTGCTCATTTTGACCCTTTGGCCTCGGATTCCCTTCTCTCTCCTTCTTTATCTGCATGGGATAATTTTCAATTACCCTTCACAGTCTAACCAAAATGTCATCACTGACTTGGCGCCTGGTCCCCTGCCCTTCATTCCCTTGGCCACATGTCTACTGCTCCAGGAACACTCTGTGCTTTTAAACTTAGAAGAACAGATACTACATTTGATCTTAGCCAAAAAGCAGAGAAGCGATCTGTGCTTTTAAACCAGTTTATTTTCAAGTACTGTATTTGAGCACCTGCCAGGTTTCACCTTGCAATCCAGTATGTATGTTATCTTCTCTACTAAAAGTTCTTCAAACAGGGATTTCATGAATCCACCATGGAAGTCTTTATGGCCCTAATTGCAGTACATTTTATGTAAGAGATGCTGAATAATTATTCACAACAATTATTTACAATTTCTTCTAGGCAGTGCTACAATAATGCACCAGAAGGTAGTTAGGTTGGCCAGAATTACCTTGAGTTTTCATACCTGAGTTCAGAGCTCTGGCTAATGTTAAGGCACCACAACTATTTGCATCTCTGAAAAGCTCCAGCAAGTTAAATTTTTTTCCGCAAAGTCCTGCCTATCATTGAGGCACTTGATCTGGGGTAGCCAATTAATCAGTTTTCATAGCTATGGGGTAATACAGTATGTCTTGTCACTACAGAACCCATTGCCTACTTAGCAATATCTGGCACATAGTAGGTGTAGATAAATATTTGTTGGAATGTACTATTTCTCAGACGAACTTGACCATGTGAGGCTTTATTATAACCAACCAAAGACATTTTTGAGACTACTGAGGAAAATTAAACTTGGTCTAGTATGATAATGGTATTGTGGTTATGTTAACTTTTTTTTATAAGTCCTTATCTCTTGGTGATACATATCAAGTATTTATGGAAGAAATGTTATAGTACCTGTAAGAGGGGGGAACTAGAAGTAAGAACAGTAGAATGTTGATAATTATTGAAATTGGTAATAGATACATGGGGGTTCATTACACTATTCTCTCTACTTTTGTGTATGTTTGAAATTTTCTGTAATAAGATGTTTTAAATTATTTACTGTTGGTATAGCTCAAGCTCATTAAATCAATTGCCTGTTTAAATTCCAAGAACATAGCAAAAAACTTAATAAATTGCTCTGAGAAATTATCAAAATTTGATTAAAACTTAACAGAACACAATTTTTTTAAAAAGAGATGGGGTCTCACTGTGTTGCCCAGGCTGGAGTATAGCGTAGCAGTCTCAACTCACTGCACTCTTGAACTCCTGGGTTTCAGACATCCTCCAGCCTCAGCCTCCTGAGTAGGTGGGACTACAGGTGCCTGCCAACACACCCTGGTTTTTTTGTTTTGTTTGTTGGTTGGTTTTTTGTTTGTTGGTTTGTTTTTTATAGAGGAGGGGGGTGTCTCAGGCTCCCAAAGTGCTGAGATTACAGGCATGAACCACCATGCCTACCCAACAAAATACAATTTAAATAAATTCCAGGCTGGGCGTGGTGGCTCACACCTGTAATCCCAGCACTCTGGGAGGCCGAGGCAGGGGGAACACTCAAGGTCAAGAGTTGGAAACCAGCCTGAGCAAGAGTGAGACCCCGTCTCTACTATAAATAGAAAGAAATTAATTGGCCAACTAAAAATATATAGGAACAATTAGCCAGGCATGGTGGTACATGCCTGTAGTCCCAGCTACTCCGGAGGCTAAGGCAGGAGGGTTGCTTGAGCCCAGGAGTTTGAGGTTGCTGTGAACTAGGCTGACGCCATGGCACTCTAGCCTGGGCAACAGGGTGAGACTCTGTCTAAATAAATGAATGAATGAATGAATGGATAAATAATAAAACATCCATCCATTCATTCATTCATTTCACTAGGCCAGGCTCAGTGGCTCATGCCTGTAATCCAAGCACTCTGGGAAGCCAAGGTAAGAGGATTGCTCAAGGTCAGGAGTCGGAAACCGTGAGACCCCACCCTGTGTCTACTAAAAATAGAAAGAAATTCATTCGCCAACTGAAAAATATATAGAAAAATTAGCCGGGCCTGGTGGTGCATGCCTGTAGTCCCAGCTACTCGGGAGCCTGTGGCAAGAGGATTGCACTCTAGCCTGGACAACAGAGTGAGACTCTGTCTCAAAAAATAAAATAAAATAAATTCCACCAGTATGATATTATTAAAGTTAAATTTAGGCTGGGTAAGGTGGCTTATGCCTGTAATCCTAGCATTTTGGGAGGCCGAGGCAGGCCAGGAGTTCAAGACCAGCCTGAGTAACACAGGGAGACACCTGTCTTTTAAAAGGGGCGGGGAAAAGAAGAAAGAAAAGAAAAATTAGCTGGGTGTATTGGTGTGCCCTGTAGACCCAGGTGCTCCAGAGGCTGAGGCAGGAGGATCATTTGAGCCCAGGAGTTTGAGGTTGCGGCGAGCTATGGTGATGCCACTGCACTCTAGCCCTGGCAAAAGAGTGAGACCTTGTCTCAAAATAAATAAATAAATTTAGAAGAGAAAATATTAGCTCTTTCTTTTGAGATACTTCTCTTAATGGTAAAGCAAAATGAGGGAATCAGGTATTAATAATTATTGTGGCCCACTGTTCTTTTCCTCTTTCATGCTCTCATTTCCCTTATTGCAAGCTTAAATTATAATACAAAGACTGGCACTGCCGGGCGTGGTGGCTCACGCCTGTAATCCTAGCACTTTGGGAGGCCGAGGCGGGCGGATTGCCCAAGGTCAGGAGTTCGAAACCAGCCTGAGCGAGACCCCGTCTCTACCAAAAATAGAAATAAATTAATTGACCAACTAAAAATATATATACAAAAAATTAGCTGGGCATGGTGGCGCATGCCTGCAGTCCCAGCTACTCAGGAGGCTGAGGCAGCAGGATTGCTTGAGCCCAGGAGATTGAGGTTGCTGTGAGCCAGGCTGACGCCACGGCACTCACTCTAGCCTGGGCAACAAAGTGAGACTCTGTCTCAAAAAAAAAAAAAAAAAGACTGGCACTATTGCCACTTCCTCGCCTCTCCTTGTACTCAACCTGGCAAAACCCAAGCCTGATTAAACCCAGCTCTGTGCATAATCCTTTCGTAAAGCTATGCAGCTGACTGGCTAGAGAAACCACTTAACTTTGCTGACTGAACCTATTTTAAATATTAAATATATGACTCTAAAGCTTAAAATGGGCATATGATCCTCCAATATTTTCATGTTAGTCATTAACTTTCCCGCTTTTAAGGATAACTATTTCCTATCTTCTTTACTCAACTTGGCTCCCTTCCCTCCGTTGATGACTTTTCCTCATAGGTCATGAAAAAGTAGAAGGAATCAGATGAAAACTACCTCATCCTTCACCACCAAACCCTCTAGCTAGCCTGCACCTGCACCAAGTACTCTGCCTTCCCACCCATTATAGTAAGAGGCTGTATCTAAGGGCAACCTTTCTGTTTATGCTGAGGATCCTGGGCCCTCTTGCCTCCACTAGGACTACATTCTTGTAATGAGATCTGCTCTCCAGCATCAGTTTGTCCCACTCTGCTGGTTCATTGCCATAAAACATGCAATCATGTTTTAATATCACTCATTTTTTTAAAAAAGAAATCAAAAATCCTCTCCTGACCCCCGGTCTTCCTCTCATTTATTGCCCCATTTCCGTATTCTTTTCTACTGACATTTCTCTTGTTGAGGCCACCATCTTATAAAGCTTGTGGTCCATCTCTATCCCCACCCTTGCCTATCAGCAGCATTTGGCATGATTGAACACTCCCGTCTGCTCCAACTTTCTGTCTAGATTTCTTTGATAGTTCACTCTCTCCTGCCTTACTAGCAGTTCTTTCTAGTCTACCTGGCTAGTTCTACCTCTGCCTGATCTCTAAACATGGAGTGCCTAGGTGTGTTCGTTGGCCTTTGCTCTAACTGTGCTCTTTCCCTTAGTGATCTTATTCACTCCGGTAACTTTAAATTCATCAAGAAGCTAATGCCTCCCAAACCCACATCTCCAGTAGGACCTCTCCTCTGAGCTGCTTTTTTTTTTTTTGAGACAGGGTCTCACTGTGTTGCCTAGGCTAGAGTGCCGTGGCATCAGCCTAGCTCACAGCAACCTCAAATGCCTGGGCTCAGGCCATCCTTCTGCCTCAGCCTCCCAAGTAGCTGGGACTACAGGCATGTGCCACCATGCCTGGCTAATTTTTTTCTATATATATTATATATATATTATATTTTCTATATATATATTATATATATTTTTTCTATTTATAGTAGAGACGGGGTCTCACTCTTGCTCAGGCTGGTTTCGAACTCCTGACCTCGAGCAAACCACCCGCTCAGCTTCCCAGAATGCTAGGATTACAAGGGTGACCCACCACGCCCGGCCTGAGCTGCTTTTTGACAGCATGGTTAGTTCCAAACATTGACAATCTCTTCTCCATTTCAGTATATAGTGTAGGCCCATCTTTGATTCCTCACTTCACTGCTCACACCCCACCCACTCATCCTTCTTGGAATTTTCTCCCAGGAACACTTGAAACCAACCTCTGGGCACCATGCCAGTGCTACAAACCTGGGCCATAGCACTCTCATCTCTTGACCACTGCTTCAGTCTCCATACCGGGCTTCTTGCCTCCTAATAGTGTTCTCTTGGTAGTCAGAGTCATATTTAGAACTTAGAACATGACATTTTTCTGCTCAGTGCCCTCCAATGTTTTCTTTCACATCTAAAATAAAATCTAAACTCTTCCAAATGTAATGAGAGAAGCTTGGTTTGATCCTGGTTTAGAGGGAAATTTTTTTAAAAGAAAACAGTTAAAATTAGAGACAAGGAAATTTCATTATGGGCTATGTATCAGGTAATATTAAGAAATTATTACTTTCGTAGGTACAATAATGCATTAGAGATTTTATAGGAGACTCTACCCTTTAGATGTGGTTTATGTATTTAGTGTTAAAATATCATGATGTCTAGAACTTACTTTCATAAAGTTTGGCAAGAAATATATGTTAATACAGAGAGCAAATACAAGATAATGTTAATGATTGTTGAATCTAGGTGGAGAGTATGAGTGTTTATTACATTATTTTGACTTCTATAGGCCTGATATTTTTCTAATAAATTAGGGGGAAGAAATCCATACTCTTTGCAGTGGCCTATAAATCTACCTGACCTAGCTTTGAGTCACCTCTCTGATTTTCCTGCCCTCCATGCACCCATGTTCACCATGCTCCAGCCACAGTGTCTATTTCTGTCCTTTGACTCATCAGTCCATCTCAGGGCCTCTGTGCTTTGGTGTCCCCTCTGCTTGGAGTGCTCTTTCCCCACAACTTCACCTGCTGCCCCTTTCCTCATTCACATCTCAGCTCATGCCACCACCTTGAAGAGCCCTTTTCTGACCATGCTAACTCAGATAGCACTCCCTCCCTACCCCAATCACCCAGTTTTAGTTTTTGCTTTATAGCACCTGATGTCATATCATTTATTTCTAGCTCACTTGGTGAATAGGCTGTTTCCCAACTAGTCCACCACTAGAAGCTCCTGGAGGGCAGATACCTTGTCTGTTATGTTTACCATTGTCTTTGCTAGTGCCTGGAAGCCCAATAAATGCTGTCAAAGGAAGGCATGGATACATGCTGATAAGGAACATCTCTAGCTTCAGCACAACTCTTGAGTATCAGCCCAGATCATTTAATCTGCTAAATTTCCTCACTTGATTCTGCCACAAAGTATCTCACTTTAGCATTCTTGTATGTTTGGTGACATGTATGTTAAGAAGGTGTTAGAGTCAGAATGATCAAGGATTCCTGAATTCTGCATTACCAATCACCTCCTTCCCAGAGAAGACCCTCAAGGGCAATTCAAGGAACAAGTAGGAAATAAAGTACCATTTTATTACTAGCTGAGATGGTACCTGTTGTTATACAGAAAGTTCTGGTAAAGTGGGCTATAGGATGTGGCTTAGGCTCAGACCCTAAGCAAAACCTCTCCTGTTCCCTAAAGCCCAAACCAAGTTTCAGGATCTCTGCCATTCTTTACTGGGCACATGACCAATAAAAAAAGGTGTGAGAAGAACAGAACCAAGCCCAGTGGCGGGCCCGCCTTGAAAAGGATGTCTCTGACCCTCAACTGCATGGCTAGGTGGAAGAGGAAGAAAAGAGAACCCAAACAATATACTTGAGCTTTTAAAGCACAGGAAAATGTAACCAATCAGATCAATATTACTCTTTCAAGAAGGAACAAGAGGGAAGGTTTCCTAAAATGGAAAGAGAAACTAGGAGTTCCCTTCCCACCAGGGACCTTTTGCATTCCACATCTTAGGGACCGCCACCATGTCCCACCAGCTGCCCAAGCCAGAAACCTGGGCGTAACAAAGTTTCCCTATTCTTCAACTCCCACGTTTGCACTGATTTTACTTCCTAAGAAGGTTTTGACTTCATCCATGCTGCCTTAGCCCTGCTCTACTTCAGGTCACAGCATCTCTGGTTTCCTACAACAGGCTCCTAACTGTTTCCCTGTCTTCAATCTTATCCCCGTTGAGTGCATCCTGCACATTGTGAAACCAGAGTGATCATTCTGAGTAATCTGAAACTGGTCACCCACAGCCCTGTTGCAAACTCCTCAGAGACTGCCTTTTTCCCTAAGAGTAAAGTTCACACTCTTAAGAGGTTTGCAAGGTCAGGCCCCTGCCCACTTTCTGAACATTATTTTTCACCATTCCTTCCAATAGCTCCATGCTCCAGCCGCACCGAACTTAAGTTCCTCAAACTTCACCGTTGGCATTGCCTTGCTGTGCTATTTCTCTACCCTTTTCTTTATTTCTCATTCACTCTCCTTCATTTTTTGGATCTCAGCAGCTAGACAACACATCTTTATCTAAGAACTGGCCTAGGGGGCGGGGGCGGTGGCTCATGCCTGTAATCCTAGCACTGTGGGAAGCCAAGGCAGGTGGATTCCTTGAGGTCTGGAGTTTGAAACCAGCCTGAGCAATAGCGAGACCCGTCTCTACTATAAATAGAAAGAAATTAATTGGCCAACTAATATATATAGAAAAAATTAGCCAGGCATGGTGGCACATGCCTGTAGTCCCAGCTACTTGGGAGGCTGAGGCAGCAGGATCGGTTGAGCTTAGGAGTTTGAGGTTGCTGTGAGCTAGGCTGACGCCATGGCACTCACTCTAGCCTGGGCAACAAATCAAGAGTCTGTCTCAAAAAATAAAAAAGTACTGGCCTGGGGCCAAGCCCACCTGTGTTCTCTCACAGCCTGAGCCTCCTGTCTTGGGTACTTACCCCACTGTATTGCAATCGCCTCTCTCCTTTTCTGACTTTCCCACTCAGGCATGAAATCCCTTAGGACAGGAACTAGTTTAGCTAGGTCATAGTTCTAGACCTACAGCCTGACAAGAGTACATTTGAATACTAAAACAGCAGAAAATGTTCAATGTATCTTTCCTGTTTGATTTTTGCAGGCAGACAAGTTGTTAAAAGCCTTAAAAGCCCACCTTAAACATGAAGCAAAAAAAGAAAATGAGAATCAGGTGAGTAATGTTTTTCATCATCACCTATTAGCTAACAAAACAACCATTTAGGTAATGAGCAATTAACATATAATTAGGGCCAGGCAAGGTGGCTCTCGCCTGTAATCCTAGCACTCTGGGAGGCCGAGGCGAGGCGGGCAGATTGCTCCATGTCAGGAGTTCGAAACCAGCCTGAGCAAGAGTGAGACCCCTGTCTCTACTATAAATAGAAAGAAATTAATTGGCCAACTAATGTATATAGAAAAAATTAGCCGCACATGGTGGTGCATGCCTGTAGTCCCAGCTACTCGGGAGGCTGAGGCCACAGCATTCACTCTAGCCTAGGCAACAAAGCGAGACTCTGTCTCAAAAAGAAAAAAAAAAAAGCCACATAATTAGTGATGATTTAAGACATGCTATTTATTACCAAAGAGATCATTATTGGTAATAGTGCCAGGGACTGAATCCTTTCATAATAACTATTTGTTATAAATGGTAAAACTGCCTTGAGGCAAATAATCTGTTGGATAATATAAATGCAAAGGCCAAGTCCTAGTTGGCAAATGTGATGAGAGATGGCCTGATGAGTAGGGAGGTAACTGGATTTGAAGTCAGAAAGCCCCAAGTGAAGTAGCAGCTCTCTTTTCTTTCTTTGTGACCTTAAAAAACTGAAACTCCTCTTTTAACTGTAAATAGTATCTGCTGTGCTGAACTGAGTGTTGTGAGAATCAAATAAAGTAGGGATTGTGAAAGTGACTTACTTTTAAATTGTAAACCACTACTGATGGGAGAGATTGTCATGGTTGCTTCAGACCGATGCCAAGGATTTTTTGTAAGTCATGACACCTAGATAGATCACCGGCCAGGATTTTTTTTTTTTTTTGAGTCAGAGTCTCACTCTGTTGCCTGGGCTAGAGCGCCATGGCTGTCAGCCTAGCTCACAGCAACCTCATACTACTCCTGGGTTCAAGCAATGCCACTGCCTCAGCCTCCCGAGTAGCTGGGACTACAGGCATGCACCACCATGCCCAACTAATTTTTTGTATATATATTTTTAGCTGGCCAATTAATTTCTATTTTTAGTAGAGACAGGATCTTGATCTTGCTCAGGCTGGTTTTGAACTCCTGACCTTGAGTGATCCTCCTGCCTCACCTAGGCCTCCGAGTGTGCTAGGATTACAAGCATGAGGCACCTCGCCCGGCCTAAGGGCCAGGATTCTTAACTTGAGATAGAGGGAAAGGATGAAAGGCCTTAAGGACTGAGCCATATAGAAAGATTGATCATATATCTGAAAGCAAAGGTAAATATAAACATGAACTGAAAAATCTAACTTCTTCCTCTGTTTTCTAACTTATAAACATTTATGGGCTGTCACAGTGGCTCACGCCTGTAATCTTAGCACTCTGGGAGGCCGAGGCGGGTGGATCGCTCAAGGTCAGGAGTTTGAAACCAGCCTGAGCAAGAGCGAGACCTCGAGACCTCATCTCTACTATAAATAGAAAGAAATTAATTGGCCAACTAACATATATAGAAAAAATTAGGCGGACATGGTGGCGCATGCCTGTAGTCCTAGCTACTTGGAAGGCTGAGGCAGGAGGATTGCTTGAGCCCAGGAGTTTGAGGTTGCTGTGAGCTAGGCTGACACCCGGGCACTCACTCTAGCCTGGGCAACAAAGCAAGACTCTGTCTCAAAAAAAAACAAAAAAAAAACATTTAAACATTTTACAAGAACAGGATGAAATAATCAGAATTCAATCAGGTACAGGATTCCTAAGTGGTGAATCTGTTAATGAGATGGGTGAAAAGGCCTGATGTAGACATCACTTGGGTAAATCAAAGAGAGTTTAAGAATACAGAAGCAAGTCGGCAAAGTCCAGATATGTGGCAAAGAGATCTTCAGTGTTACCTAGGATAGACAGATGTACAAGCTTCCAGACCACAAAATCATCCTCTAAGAAGTGCACCATTGTGTATTATATTTAAGTGAGGGTGACAGTGGACCTTCTAGAGGCCTTAAATATGAGTTGTAACAGCTCTGACTACATTAGTCTGGATGTGTGCTGGCCATTGCCTCAACTGAAGCAGGTATGCTTTCTTTTGAGTCTTAGATTTAGACAACTGAGTTAGAGGGTTTATCATGGTCCATTCAGGAATGAACATACTGCTCCCTGATCATTGTGAGACTCCTAGACTAACATACCATGGTTCGGGTACATGGAATTAAAATAAGACATCTCTGGGAGTCATAACAGGTATTTAAACCAATTATAGGCCAGGCTCACGCCTGTAATCCTAGCACTCTGGGAGGCCTAAGTGGGTGGATTGCTTGAGGTTAGGAGTTTGAAACCAGCCTGAGCAAGAGGGAGACCCTGTCTCTAGTATAAATAGAAAGAAATTAATTAACAACTCACTCTAGCCGGGGCAACAAAGCGAGACTCTTGTCTCAAAAATAAATAAATAAATAATAAATAAAAATAAACAAATTACAGGACCTATCTACACTTCACTACTATGGGGTGTGGGAGGATACTTTAAAAGTGGAATCCAGGCCGGGCGCAGTGGCTCACGCCTGTAATCCTAGCACTCTGGGAGGCCGAGGTGGGTGGATTGCTCGAGGTCAGTAGTTCGAAACCAGCCTTAGCAAGAGTGAGACCCCGTCTCTACTATAAATAGAAAGAAATTAATTGGCCAACTAATACATATAGAAAAAATTAGCCGGGCATGGTGGTGCATGCCTGTAGTCCCAGCTACTTGGGAGGCTGAGGCAGCAGGATTGCTTGAGCCCAGGAGTTTGAGGTTGCTGTGAGCTAGGCTGACGCCATGGCACTCATTCTAGCCTGGGCAACAAAGTGAGACTCTGTCTCAAAAAAAAAAAAAAATTTAAAAAATTTAAAAAAAAAAAAGTGGGATCCAGATAGGATTTTTCTTTTCTCATGTAAAAATTCCTGCTCTTTTGAAATTTATGCTCCCCTATTCTAATCTCTTATCTGCTGACCTCCTGGTTGCTCTCTACTGTTTCTTGTCCCATTGTCTTCGTTGCCTTATGTCCAGACCTTATTTTGGGTGAGTTCAAAGGTCCATCTGTATGTCTCTTTTTACTATCTTGGCCTCCTTGTTCCTTAACTCTAGTAACCTTTGTTTCTACTCTTCAACAGCCATCCACTTCTTTGGGTATATCCTAGACCTTACATCTCTTGGAACGATTCCACTTTTGTAATATTTCACCTCCGTCTAAGGCCTTCAGTTCTTTATTATTTTACTTCTAGCACACATATTTTATATGGTGGCTCTCAGCTCAGTATTTACAGGAGAATCATTAACTTGATAGTTAAAATGAATAGATGACAGCAATTGAGAAGTAAAGGGAAGACAAGAGGTACAAGGACACATAAAGATGTTAATATCTATGACTTACAGGATATATTGCCTGTAGTTGTGGAACAAGATTTAAAGGTATATCTATAGCTGCAAAAGTAAGTAATAGAGTGATTAAAGTGTTATAATTCTATCAGGAAGAAGACGGCAACATGAGAGTACAAATAAGCTAATTTTAGCACGTGATAGGCACTAAAATAGCTGTTAAAAATACAAATATCCCATCAGCAAATCACTGGTGGTATATTAAATAACCACCTGAACTTAAGCCTTACATATAGCAAGGGTGAGCAGAGAACCAATTGCTTTTCATTATAATCTTTTCTTTAGTTTTTGATTTAGCCATATGTATCTAGTAGTTTATTTCAAAAAATTAGGATTTACTTAAAATACAAAAACATCAAAACCAAATCAAGCCTTTCCTTTATAGTTTCTAGATAAGATAATATGCCTTTATATTCACGTATTTTTTTTTCTAATGCTTTGAAACTTTTACTTTTTACTCTTTATATTTAAATCTTTAACCCATCCAGATTTCATTTTGGTGTGAGAGAACAACCAATTGTTCGAGCCACCAAAATTATAAAAACATTGTTAGTTTTCCACACATCATGTGTTGAATAATGAATCCAATCTTCGCCCACTAATATGAAGTGCAACCATTATCAAACAATTATTTCTTTTTTTTTTTTTTTTACAAAATACCCTCAGATTCTAATCAAACAATTATTTCTTAAATAAGCAGATCTGTTTTGGATGTTCTGGTACCTGACCACACTGTTTTCATATTGTACCATTTTACTTCTAGTTTATGGTGATTCAAGTGCTTTTCGCCTTACTCTGTTATTTTTACCTTTGATAAGTTACTTTGGGCTATCAAAGTTTAGTTTCCTCATCTGTGAACTAAGGATAATAACAATACATATATCATAGGCTTTAAGGAATAAATGAGATAATTCACATAAATACTTAACCCAGTAATGTTGTAATACTAGCTATAATTATTATTAGCTAATCACTTAGTGCTTGGCACATAGTGTATATTCAATAAATGAATGCACTTTTAATAATTATTTAATTTATTTATTCCCACTAAGATAACTTGGAATGCTTTCCCAGCCTAGTTCATTATCTCAGGTTATTAAATGTGATTGTTTCTTTTTAAATACTCTCTAATTCTTGTCCTTGCCTATAATTTATTGCTAGAGAGTTTTAAAAATTATCTTTTATATGTGCAATATGTTTTTTATTCAGTTTAAATTCTGATTCTCCTAAGCTTTATACCTCTGTCCATAGGACATGGCAGATTAATGTGTCTCTTTTCAGGATGAAAGTCAAACTTCTGCGTCCTCCTGTGATGAGACTGAGATTAACAATCAGGAGCAAGGTGAGAGAGAGCCAACTGGCCATGTCACCAAAACAAGGAGAAGGCACAAGACAGTCCATGGGAACCCTGACTCCCAGGTGAATGGAAATGTACAGACTGAAAATAAGCTAACACCTGTGCCAAACTGGCATGTTTAAGGAGCTTCCTTTTTAAATTTCCTTATGATATCAGGTGGTTCAAGTTGACTGTGTGCTATAAGATCCATGAAGGCCCAGGCCCAAGTCTAGCTGCTTGATGCACCCTAGGGCCTGGCACCCAAGAAGTACTTTTTAAGTATTAAGCACAAATAAATATTTGAATAAACAGGAACCTTCATTAAGTGTTCACTTAGACGAGGTGTAGTACATAAGAAGAAAAGAAAAACCAACATCAACTATGATTTTTTCATTTAATTCTCTTTCCTAAATTGTCCCCTGCCTGGTGATCACCATGTACTTAGTCTTTCAGCACTATGGTCATATGATGAGCAAGAGACTTCCCTCATTTGCTTTGATTAGATTCTGATTTTATTGTTCTATCTTATCTTTCCATTCAAATTTAACTTTTACCCAACACAGTCTTAATTTTTTATTTTCTAGCTTCATATAGTCCTTTGGTTAGTAGTCCTTTTGTTAGTAGTGTTATCTTATCCCAAAGAGAGGCTAATTTTATCATTTCTTTTATGCCTTCCAATGTTCCCTAGTGTATCCTATTTCTAAATTTACATTCTCTTGATACTTGGTGGGGCAGAGCCCAAATCCAACACTCAGAAGTCTCATTCTCCTACTTTTATTCCTTTAGCCTCTTCCCCTCTTCATTCTGGCACCTATGTTTGGAAGGCAGCACTTACTTATCATCTAAATCTTTTATTTCCTTTTAAAATTAGCAGGATCATTCAGAGATAAAAATAAGTGATCCCACTGAATTCCAGAATTGTGAAAAGCAGGAAAACCAAGATCTCAGCTCTACTCCTTCCCCATCAGATGAGAGCCAAGGAGCTAAGCATGCAGTTGCCTCAGGAAAAAGTGGAATAAATGGTATGCCAAGTAACATTAAAAAAAAATTGCTAGTTATAGCCATGTACGTTAGTTTCCTAGGACTGCTATAATAAGATACCACAAACTGCGTAGCTTAAAACAGCAGAAATTGATTATCTCATACTTTTAGATGCTAGAACAACAGAAATTGATTCTTATAGTTCTACAGACTAGAAGTCGAAAATCAAGGTGTCAGTAGAGCCATTCTTCTCTGAGACACTGGGTAGAATCCTTCCTTGCCTTTCCCTGACTTGTGACTTATCGATGCCTGGTGTTCTTGGCTTGCACCCACATAGCTCCACTCTCTGCTTCTGTTATCATATGGCATTCTCTCTAGGTACATCTGTCTTCTTAAAAGTACTCCAGTCTGGGCACAGTGGTTCACACCTATAATACTAGCACATTGGTAAGCTGAGGCAAGAAGATTGCTTGAGCCCAGGAGTTCAAGACCAGTGAGACCCCCATCTCTACAAAACATAGAAAAATCTAGCTGGGTATGGTGGCATGTGCCTATAGTCCCAACTACTTGGGAGTCTGAGGCAGGAAGATCACTTTAGCCCAGGAGTTCAAGGTTGCACTGAGCAGCCACTGCACTCTAGCCTGGGAGACAGCAAGACCCTGTCTCAAAAATAAGTAAGTAAGTAAGTAAGTGGTGTGGTAGCACAGACCTGTAGTCCTAGTTACTCAGGAGGTTGAGACAAGACAATTTCTTGAGCCCAGGAGTTCAAGGCCAGCCTGGGCAACATAGCAAGACCTGTCTCTTTAAAAATAAGTAAGTATAGAATCAGACAACCAGAGGAAATATGCCAAAATGCTAATGGTGTTTCTTTGGCTATTGGGATTTTGTGATTTTCTTTTTTTTTTTTTAATTTTTTATTTTTATTTTATTTTTTTATTTTTTTGAGACAGAGTCTCACTTGTTGCCCAGGCTAGAGTGAGTGCCATGGTGTCAGCCTAGCTCACAGCAACCTCAAACTCCTGGGCTCAAGCAATTTCCTGCCTCAGCCTCCCGAGTAGCTGGGACTACAGGCATGCGCCACCATGCCCGGCTAATTATATATATACATATTAGTTGGCCAATTAATTTATTTGTATTTATAGTAGAGACGGGGTCTTGCTCTTGCTCAGGCTAGTTTCGAACTCCTGACCTCGAGCAATCCGCCCGCCTCAGCCTCCCAGAGTGCTAGGATTACAGGCGTGAGCCACCGCGCCCGGCTGATTTTGTGATTTTCATCACTCTAGTTATAACAATAATATGTTCATAGTAAAAATTCTGAAAAAGTTTTATTTAACTTTCTGGTATATTTATGTAACTTCTATACAGACAGCATAAAATTTCTACCCACTTGAAGCTTATGAGTTAATATGGTAGTAATGATATAATTCTTTTTTTTTTTTTAATTTCGGTATATTATGGGGGTACAGATTTTAAGGTTTCAATAGATGCCCATTCCCCCCCTCCCCCCAGATATAATTCTTTGTGTTCCTTATGTACCATTTCTACCACCACTTTGGCAGAGCCTACAATAGAAAAATGCTCTGTTAACTTAGACATTTCTTAAATTTTTTTTTTTTTTTTTTGAGACAGAATCTCGCTTTGTTGCCCAGGCTAGAGTGCCGTGGCGTCAGCCTAGCTCACAGCAACCTCAAACTCCTGGGCTCAAGGGATCCTACTGCCTCAACCTCCCGAGTAGCTGGGACTACAGGCATGTGCCACCATGCCCCCTAATTTTCTATAATATGTTAGTTGCCCAATTATTTCTTTCTATTATGGTAGAGACGGGTCCGCCTCTTGCTCAGGTTGGTTTCGAACTCCTGACCTCAAGCAATCCGCCCGCCTCAGCCTCCCAGAGTGCTAGGATTACAGGCATGAGCCACCGCGCCCGGGCTTCTTAAATTTTTTGAAATCCTTCTTAGTTCTGTGTCTTTGGATTTAGGTAATGAAGATTCAAAGGTATCTTTAGAAAGAAAGAAGTCTCCCTACAGAGATGAATTTTACAAACGTGGAAAAACCAAAAGAACTGCAATCACTACTCCAAGTAAGTTTTATACACAAAGGTACATAAAGTAATGGTTAGCCCACTTTAAACTGATTTTGGAAGGCAGTGGATTGGAACAGCTAGAAGGTTAAATGATGAAACTAGAGTTTACATTCTCGTTCTCTCATTTTCTAGCTTTCAGATCTTGAGCAACTTATCTTCAATAAACCTACTTCCTCAATGTAAAGTGTAAATAATTTTACTACAGTACATATTTCATCAGGTTGATACATAAATTAATTGAGAATGTTTTTCCACTACTGATTACCTAGCATAGCAAATAACCTCTATCCAGGATTTAGTAAATATCTGAGGCATGAGACAGGCATGATGGTGTGTGTCTTATAGTCCCAGCTACTCAAGAGGCTGAGGCAGAAGGATCACTTTGTGCCCAGGAGTTCAAGGTCACAGTGAGCTGTGATCGCACCACTGCACTCCAGCCTGGGTGACACACAAGATCCTATCTTTTAAAAAAAACTCTGAATGAATGTCTATGAAGTACTTGACATAAAGCCCACCATGTAATACTTTCTCATAAATCTAAGGACCTCCATTTTTAGATATGTAATTCTTCTCTATCTTATATTGTTGGAACACTGTTTTGCACATAGAATGTTGATTGTTATGTATTTAAGGTAGTTAGAATGCTGTTGGTCATATACTAGAGATTCAATCAATGTTTATGTACTTAATTAGAATGGCATAGAGCAGGGGTAAGCAAACTACTGCCTTCCTTGGCCTGTCTTCTTATATCCTTTGAGATAAGAATGGTTTTTACTTTTTTGTTTTTGAGACAGTCTCACTCTGTTGCCCAGTCTAGAGTTCCATGGCATCAGCCTGGCTCACGGCAACCTCAAACTCCTGGGCTCAAGCGATCTTCCTGCCTCAGCCTCCCAAATAGCTGGAACTACAGGCACACACCACCACACCTGGCTAATTTTTTCTATTTTTAGTAGAGATGGGGATCTCGCTATTGCTCAGGCTGGTCCTGAACTCCTGACATCAAGCCATCCTCCCATCTTGGCCTCCTAGAGTGCTAGGATTGCAGGCATGAGCCACCACACCCAGCGGTATTCTTTGTTTTGTTGTAATTTTTTTTTTTTTTTTTGAGTCAGAGTCTCACTCTATTGCCCAGACTAGAGTCCCATGACGTCAGCCTAGCTCACAGCAACCTCAAACGCCTGGGCTCAAGTGATTCTTCTGCCTCAGCCTACCGAGTAGCTGGGACTACAGGTATGCACCACCATGCCTGACTAATTTTTTGTATATATATTTTTAGTAGAGATGGGGTCTCGCTCTTGCTCAGGCTGGTTTCGAACTCCTGACCTTTACTCATTTGCCCACCTTGGCCTCCCAGAGTGCTAGGATTACAGGAGTGAACCACTGCGCCCAGCTCCAGCAGTTTTTATGTGTTTAAAAAAGGTTTTAAAAAAAGAAGAAAGATTGGTCAGTTACCTGGAGCAAAAGAAATTTTATAAAAAATAAATAAATAAAGGCCAGGCGCGGTGGCTCACGCCTGTAATCCTAGCACTCTGGGAGGCCGAGGTGGGAGGATTGCTCGAGGTCATGAGTTCGAAACCAGCCTGAGCAAGATGAGACCCTGTCTCTACTATAAATACAAAGAAATTAATTGGCCAGCTAAAAATATATATAGAAAAAGTTAGCTGGGCATGGTGGTGCATACCTGTAGTCCCAGTTACTTAGGCGGCTGAGGCAGAAGGATTGCTTGAGCCCAGGAGTTTGAGGTTGCTGTGAGCTACGCTGACACCACGGTACTCACTCTAGCCTGGACAACAAAGCAAGACTCTGTCTCTAAATAAATAAATAAATAAATAAATAAATAAATGAATGAATGAATGAATGAATGAATGAATGAATGAATAAATAAATAAATAAATAAATAAATAAATAAATAAATAATAAATAAGAAAAATAAAGTATAAGAATATTTAAAAGAAGAAGAAAGAGACAGAGACCATACCATACCTGGCCACAAAGCCTTAAAATACTTTTTATCTAGCCCTGTAGAGGAAAAGTTTGTGAGTCCTTGGCATAGAGCTGTCTAAGCATTATAGAATATGAAATTTATGATGGTTAAATAAAAGTAATTTGACTAACTGTAGAAGATAAATCTATTACTCTTATTCCCTGGACTAATCCAAGATGTCAGTAAAATGGACAGATAGCAAATGTTTAGTTATAAGAGAAATATGTTTTGCCCCTCATTTTCCAAAAACTAAGTATTTTGAGGTTAAAGTTTTGGCAAAAATTATGTTGAAATTGAATGTCAGGGATGCAAAGAAGAGAGAATAATTATTACCAGAAAAACACAGGAAGTATATGAGTGGATTTTGTCTTGTCATTAATTTTCATATTTGGGGGGAACATTCTAGACTTTAAGAAGCTTCATGAGGCTCATTTTAAGGAAATGGAGTCCCTTGATCAATATATTGAGAGAAAAAAGAGACATTTTGAAGAACACAATTTGGTTAAGGAACTGAAGGTATGTAGATAAAATTATGTTCTTAATGGGACTAAACTGTTTAGTTTTGATGCATGAACTGTATAACACCATGGTTAATACAGCCAGCTTTCTATTTCTCTATCAATGGAATGGATTTTTTTGGCTTAACATATCTTTATCTTAAAATTGTGTTCTACAGCCTTAAGAATTCTCAAAACCCTCCAAATAAAGTAGTGAATCCTCACTATGAAGAACTAATTCCAAAGTGCTAATAAGTCATTCTGTTTTCCATATTCAGACGTTTTTGCCTATCACTTTCGTTGAGAATGAACTAACTTATGGCTAAAGCAGTCTTCTTTCTCTTATCTCTCACCTAAAGGAAAATGGAGTGATTAATAGTGGCTAACCTAAACAGTTTCTATGTTAACAGCTCCCTCGGGGGCCTTCAATCCTAGTCCTACTGGATTCAAGGCCTCCTCAAGTAAAAGAAAGTGATAAAATCAACCCTGAGCTTCAGTTAGCAGAGTAGTGAGTTCCTGACATCCTAGGAAGTTGGTGTTGTTGGTATCTGGTGCTAAGGGAGTACCAGATAGAGGGTGAAAAACATTTATTTTAGAATTTAATAATATATAACAAGCTGCCTATTTCTCAAAAAGAATTTAAGGCAGTTTGTGGCATTAATATAACAAAACTGTTTTGATTTTCTTTTTTCTTTTTTTTATTTCATTTTATTTATTTATTTTTGACCCTGGCATGATTCAGGATATTTTTTCTTTATTCTGTTTATAAAACAGTTGTCACCAAGAGATAAGGTCAATTATATATCAATCACCCACTTAAGTTTTGAGTTTTCCAGCAACTAGTGCCAAGAGAGAAACACACTGGGTGCTAAGTTCTAAGTGATTTTTTTTTTGAGATGAAGATCTTGCTATGTTGCCACTGTTCCCAGCCTGAAGAAATGTCTTTTCTTTCATCATTGCATGTTATATATTGGTTATATAGTTGTAAATCCTAATATGTTATAATTGTCTGTTTTCTGTGGATTTACTTTTTCTTTTGCCAATTCTTTTTTTTATTTTTGAGACAGAGTCTCGCTTTATTGCCCACGCTTGAGTGAGTGCTATGGCGTCAGCCTAGCTCACAGCAACCTCAAACTCCTGGACTCAAGCAATCCTTATGCCTCAGCCTCCTGAGTAGCTGGGACTACAGGCATGTGGCACCATGCCCGGCTAATTTTTTCTATATATATATTAGTTGGCCAATTAATTTCTTTCTATTTATAGTAGAGATGGGGGTCTCACTCTTGCTCAGGCTGGTTTTGAACTCCTGACCTCAAGCAATCTGCCCGCCTCAGCCTCCCAGAGTGTTAGGATTACAGGCGTGAGCCACCGCGCCCGGCCGCATAGTTTATCTTTTAACTATATTAATGGTGTCTTACCTTGAGGAAGGTCTTATTTCTGTTTTAGTTACATTTATTCAAGTTTTCCTTTTAAGGCTGAGTTTTTCATCATGCTTAGTAAGGCCTTGCCTATCCCAAGATTATTAAAATAAGCTCTTATATTTATTTCTATTCTTCCCTGTTTTTTGTTTTGTTTTTGAATCAGAGTCTTGCTCTGTTGCCCCGGCTAGAGTGCCATGGCATCAGCCTAGCTCACAGCAACTTTTACCTCCTGGGCTCAAGCAATCCTTCTGCCTCAGCCTCCCAAGTAGCTGGGACTACAGGCAGGCACCACCATGCCTGGCTAATTTTTTCTATATATTTTTAGTTGTCCAGCTAATTTCTTTCTTTTTTTTTTTTTTTTTTTGAGACAGACTCTCGCTTTGTTGCCCAGGCTAGAGTGAGTGCCTTGGCGTCAGCCTAGCTCACAGCAACCTCAAACTCCTGGGCTCAAGCAATCCTTCTGCCTCAGCCTCCCAAGTAGCTGGGACTACAGGTCCTCTGTTGCCCAGGCTAGAGTGAGTGCCTTGGTGTCAGCCTAGCTCACAGCAACCTCAAACTCCTGGGCGCGACTTGAGCAATCCGCCGGCCTCAGCCTCCCAGAGTGCTAGGATTACAGGTGTGAGCCACCACGACTGGCTTCTTCCCTGTTTTTAATCCTTAACCCACATTTTTTTTTATATGTCAATTTCAGTTGTCCTGTCTCAGTAATGAAGTTACATTTTTTCTACTTATAACAGATCTTAGATTGATAATAGTAAAACATTCCATTACTCTTTGTGCCTTGACAAGCTCTGAAAGCTATAACCTAAGTGGAACCCTTCATAGCAATTTCAAAGTGAGCATTTCTTTCCCTCTTTCCCATTTTTTTCTTTACTCTTTTACTTTTTTAAGTTTTTTTTTGTTTTTTTGTTTTTTTTTGAGACAGGGTCTTGCTCTGTCATGCAGACTAGAGTGCAGTGCTGTTATCATAGCTCACTGCCACCTCAAACTCCTGGGCTTTTGTGATCCTCCTGCCTCAGCCTCTGGAGTAGCTGGAACTACAGGTGTGCACTACCACATCCAGCTTATTTTTCTATTTTTTGTAGAGATGGTGTCTCACTGTTGTTCAGGCTGGTCTCAAACTCCTGGCCTCAAGTGATCCTCCTGCCCTAGACTCCCTAAGTGCTGGGATTAAAGTGCAGGCATGAGCCACTGTGTCCGGCCTTAGTTTTTTTATTTTTAAGAACTTCAAAATGCTATTGTTTGGGGAGAGAGGGACAAGGTGGAATTATTTGTAGATTCCACCTGCAAAATATATAATAGTTTCTTCTTTCAGTTTGTATCTAATAAACTGTATATCATGCTCTCTAATTTACCATATTTCCAAGAGAATCTATTCTTTCTTTCTGGCTACAAGAGACAGTTGTGCTATATTCTTTCTCCAGTTAGAAAATGCTTCTACGTATGGGTACATGGCAGCTGGGAAAGACTTTCTCGTAATTCACTACTCAGCACAACCCAAAGTTATTCTTTACAGTAGAATCACCCTAGCAACACAGTGGTGGGTAACTGGGCTGCTAGACAGACAGGTAGGATAGGATGAGGTGGTATAGCACAGAAGGAAGAGATGCCAGGTGGAGTTCAAAGTGGGGATGACACAAGGGGGAAATGGGAACACTCCTCTGGGCTTTGTCTTGGAGACAATACTGTATATGAGACCAAGCTTTTAAAATGGTGCCTTTTTCTGTTTTTCAGAAGCAGACTGTCAATAAGGGCAAGGTAGTGACTCCAGTTCCTCCAAAAGGAAGAAGTTCTGTGGCTTGTACTCCCGTCAGCCAACAGCACTTACAAGGCTGGTTTCACAGCCCTGCAAGTCAGAGCACCTTGGGTCTGAAGGGGTCAGTCAAGTGCTCTGCTCTCTCCGCAACTAAAATGAGTGTCAGGTAAAGAAGTCACTTCAGAGTATAATCATAGGCAAGATTTCAGGTGGACAATATCAAATTTGTTTTAACATTGGTTTAAAAAAAAAAAAAAGCAGAAGATAAGGAACTGAGAGATCAGTAAACAGTTTAAGTTCTAATCTTTTCTCTTTAAATGTGTGTTCAGTTTTTATGTATTATCCAGCTTTCCTAAGCACATATTTCATTAATAAGTAAATATTTTAAAAAGATAATATTTGGATAGTCTTTGATTTTATTAATGTAAGCCTGTCAAGATGTCTAAGGAGAAAGTTTTCCATTGATTTAAATATAATACATAATGCTAAATTCCTACAGAAAGTCTTTCAATGCAGTGAACTGAAAAATTGACTTTTCCTAAAGTACTAATATTGTAACCCATTGGGCACTGCAGTATCATACCCATATTATGCCCCATTAATCCCCATTTTTCTTTGCTTGTGCCTTTCTTAACATCAAGGTCACCTTCAACTATGACTGTCCTCATAGATGAAAATCTTCAAGTTCCTTCTAATACCAAAATTTTATTCTCTCCTTTTCAAAAGGCATTTGTAGAATCTAATAGACCTGGGGCATGGTAACTTTTCCCAACATGTGCAATTATCTAACATAGTTTTTAAAACTTAAAAATGGCCTTAAGTTTGCAATTCTCTTTATTGAGTTAGCTTGGAATATGAAATACCTATAATTAGTGGTTCTGATTTCATTCAGTACTTTTTTTTCTTTGGAGACAGGAGTCTTGCTTTATTGCCCATGCTGGTCTTGAACTCCTGGCCTCAAGTGATCCTCCTGCCTCAACCTCTCAAGTAGCTGGGATTACAGGTGTGAGCCACTGCCCCAGCTTCATTGATATTACTTAAGAACCCCATGGTGAATCTTCTGGTCCTTGCTTCACTGCATTGTACAGAACTGGACTTCACAGCACCTATCCTATCACGTCTAATTTGTTTTTGAGATAGGGTCTTGCTCTGTAGTCAGGCTGGAGTGCAGTGGCGCAGTTGTAGCTCACTGCAACCTCAAACTCCTGGGCTCAAGCTATCTTCCTGCCTCAGCCTTCCAAATAGCTAGGACTATAGGCTCATGCCACCACACCTGGCTAATTTTTCTAATTTTTTGTAGAGAACAGGGTCTCATTGTGTTACCCAGGCTGGTCTCAAACTCCTGGGCTCAAGTGATTCTCCTGCCTTGACCTCTCAAAGTGCTAGGATCACAGGCATAAGCCACTGTGCCAAGAAACATCTAATTTTCTTCAACTCTATTATATACTGCTTGTTAATAATTTCAGTGTGTTGATTCAGGATGACCATCAAATTTATAGTTATAAGTCCAGAAGTTTCTTTCTCTTAACCCTATCACCACCAAACCTATGTGCATTTATATATGTCATTACTGGATTTTCATTGAATTTAAGACAACATTGACTGAAAAGTGACTGCCAATTAAGTATTGACATGTTACCAATTACAAGACACATACCAATTTCAGAGACATTAAAATGTAGAATAAATACACATCAGAAAATCAATGAAGTATATTAATGGCCATTTGCCATGAGTAGAGAATGTGGTTATTTCTGTACCACTCAACTGAATGGCATTCTTCTAGGAAGATATAAGATCTGTTATCACTGCTCATATGGCATAGCCATCTCCTGCTCCCTCTGACTTGCTGACCCCAGGAGCAGGAAGAGAAAGAAGGGGAGCCCCTGGGATTATGTCCTAAACTATAACTTAAGGCCTACAGACTTATACCTTGAGTGCTGTCTTATACTGTTGTTGGCCAAGGCAGGGAGAACAGAAAATACAAGAACATATTTAACAAGTAACAGAAGTTGATAAATGATTTGCTTTAGTATCAGCCTTTAAGAACATGTTTCTTCTGCAAAAGAGGTTCATTCATATAACAAGTATTTATTGAGACCATTTTACTTGCTAATGGTCGAGTGGTTTTATTTATAAGCTTGACACAGGTTACTCTTGCCCCAAGTACTCATGTCTTATACTCCACTGTACTGTTCAGGTTTTCAGCTGCTACTAAAGATAATGAGCATAAGCGTTCACTGACCAAGACTCCAGCCAGAAAGTCTGCACATGTGACCACATCTGGGATTGCCTCAAAAGGCCAGGCTGTGCTTGGGACACACAAGACCACCAAGGGGAATTCTGCTGTTGCTGGTAAAAAACAAAAAAACACACTTCTGTTTCATCTTTAAGCCATGTAATTTCCCAAAATTATTAAGTATATCGGTTCCCTGAAATCCTCTCCATCTCTATAAATCACAACTGAAAATTTTACCATAGGATATTTTTCATTTTATACTTGTGACAGAAATGTCAAAGACATGAACAAAAGCATGATATCTGCCTGAGGGCTCCCTAAGGAGCACTGTGCCCCTCTAGAACTCAGGGAGTGAGAGGAAGAGCACAGTATACATTACAGTCTCTGAAAGGTTCTGCAGGACTTGGAAACTAACAGGATCCCAGACCACAGAGTGGTTCATGGAATAAATGTCACACTAATGACTAATAGATTATACAGGCCAGAGTAATACATACAGATATTTTTCTACACAGATATTTTTCTGCTGGACCACTACCTTTCAAAAGAATACTTACAGTAGTGATATGAAGGTTCAAACATTATATCAAGTTGTAATACAACTAGATATGTCAAGGTTCCCTTGACAGTCCTGTGGAATGTGTTGGTCTAAGATCTTTGGTTACACAGATACAGAAACTATTGCCAGATTCCCTGAGACTACAAGATTCCATCAGAAATAAGACTAGAGGAGAGAATGGTTGGTAATAATCAGTGTGGAGAGACGGTTTAAGGACTTCATGTCTTAATCACCTAAGTTAAAGACTGTAAGTGAGACTGACAACAAAATTTCGAGTGAGCCCAGAGGTGAGAATAATAAATTTATGATTCTTCCCCTAAATGACCTCCCATTCCTACTCTACCTCCTTACCCTTATCTGTATCCACCAGCAAACATTCCAAATCATGAAGAAAGGCACTGGGTAGGGGGCAGTGATAGAGAATGATTGGTGGACTTACCTAAGATACAACTGTTATTTACAAAGAGCTGGCAGTTACTGAACAGTAGCCACCTACTTTATAATGAGAACAGGTTTACAAATGCCCACAGATAAAGGCACGAGGCCAAAACTAAATGTTTACAACATTCTGAGCCATCCTCTGTAAGTAATTTGGGAGTGTGCCCAGTTTGGAAGAGATAGTTTTATATTTTTCCAATTAACAAATGACAAATTTTATATAAACAAAATCAAACTCTGATTTCTTTTCCTATGATTTATTTCATTCACTCAGCATAATGTTTGAAGATTCAACCATATTGAATCATTTTCACTGTACTTTTCAGGGGTATGGATATATTTTGTTTTATCTACTTCCCTGCTTATAGACATATTGGTATTTCCAGCTTTCATTTTTTTTTTTTTTTTTTTTTTTGAGACAGAGTTTCGGCTTGTTGCCCAGGCTAGAGTGAGTGCCGTGGCATCAGCCTGGCTCACAGCAACCTCAAACTCCTGGGCTCAAGCGATCCTTCTGCCTCAGCCTCCCAAGTAGCTGGGACTACCGGCATATGCCACCATGCCTGGCTAATTTTTTCTATATATATTAGTTGGCCAATTAATTTCTTTCTGAGCAAGATGGGGTCTCGTTCTTGCTCAGGTTGGTTTCGAACTCCTGAGCTCAAAGGATCCACCCACCTCAGCCTCCCAGAAAGTTAGGATTACAGGCGTGAGCCACCGTCCCCGGCCTTCATTATTATATATGATATAACTATGGACACTCTTGAACATGTCTCTTGTACATGTGCACGAGTTTTTTTAGACCTAGAGGCAGGACTGCTGGATTGGAGGGTGTGTAGACATTTACTATCCTGGCTGAATTAAACCTTTTCAGTGCCCCCACCAGCAGCGTATGACAGTCCCTTGTTCCACTCCCTACCAGCACTTGATAGTAACATGATGGGATAGCTTATACATTCTGAATGGTGCTTCACAAATACAGGCAGGTGTTAACATTTGACAACAACCTGGATGAAAGTGAGTGGCTTACTCTTTGAGGAAAGGGGATTATAAAATGTGCCAGATATTGATGTCCATCTATAGCAAAAAGCTTACCAAGTTATACCATTTTGGTATACTTCTAACTTTATGATGCAAAAATTCACGTTCATAAGTTATACAGCCTTTATTATTAACCACAGCCATGAATCTTTTCAACTATATGTGATCATGTTTCTTTATATCTGTTTGTGTTAATGATGATACTATTAATAACAATTTTTTTTTTAAGAGATAGGGTCACCCAGGCTAGAGTGCAGTGGCACTATGATAGCTCACTATAACCTCAAACTCCTGGACTTGAACAATCTAACTCCATCAGCCTCCCAAATAGCTAAGAATACAGGCGTGTGCTACCAAGCTGGGCTTTTTTTTTTTTTTTTTTTTTTGAGACAGGGTCTCCCTCTATTGCCTAGGGTAGAGTGCATCATAGCTCACTGCAACCTCACATGCCTGGGCTGAAGCAATCCTCCTGCCTCAGCCTCCTGAGTAGCAAGGACTACAGGCATGCGCCACTACACCCAGCTAATTTTTTCTTTCTTTTTTTTTTTTTTTTTAGATAGAGATGGAGTCTTGCTATGTTGTTCAGGCTGGTCTCGAACCCCTAGGCTCAAGCAATCCTCCCACCTCAGCCTCCCAAAGTGCTAGGGTTACAGGCATGAGCCACTATGCCTGGCCAATAACATAATTATCTAAAAGGGTATCTATCTACTATAAGAGAAATAGACTGAAAAATGACCCTATTATTCCTTCAAAAAGAATTCTACACTCCCAGCCGATCCTAGAAAATTTAATAATAATCAGAATATTTGCTTAACAGGAGAAACAAAACTTCTAATAGGTGAACTTTCCTTAGTTTGTATTTTCTCCCCTTTTCTCCTTTTTAACCCCACATTTGTTCATATAGATTGTCTTAGTCCATTTGGACTGCTTTATAATAAAGCACCATCTACTGGCTTATAAACAACAGTCATTTATTTCTCATACTTCTGGAGGCTGGATCAGGCAGACCAGGGTGCTAGCATGATCAGATTCTGGTGAAGGCCCTCTTCTGGTTAGCAGACTGCCAACCTCTTGTATTCCCACATGGTAGAAAGAGAGCTAGAGAACTCTGTGAGGTCCCATTATAAGAAATGAATGCGATTCAATCCCATTGCCTCCCAAAGCCCCTACTTCCAAATACCAATTACATAGAGGGGATTAGGATTCCAATATATTATTTTGGGGTGGGGGAGAATGGCACGAACATTTAGTCTATAACAGAGATTATAATTTTAAGATTGAGAAGTGATACTTTGACAAAAACTATAACGGGTCTTTTTTTCTAATTAATACTTGGTGTTTTTTGGTGTTTTTTTGTTGTTGTTAGTTATTACCCCATTCAAGTTGACAACGGAGGCAATGCAGACTCCAGTCTCCAATAAGAAGCCAGTGTTTGATCTTAAAGCAAGTTTGTCTCGTCCCCTCAACTATGAGCCACACAAAGGTATGTGGGAGTGTTTTGAGGTACAGGGCCTATAAAAGACATCAGATTAGTCAATCCTGCATCTAAGGATGTGAAAAAATGCTAGTGTCTCAGTGGAAGCCATACTTGACATCCTAGAAAGGATCCCAAGGTTGCCCCTTAAACCACTCTTACACATGTATTAAGGTATAATGTAATCTGTCGTTCAGTGCTTCTGGAGTTACTTTAAAGCACACAGAGTTCCTGAAAGAATCACTTAAATAACAATGTCTATCTGTAAATTACCAAGATTAACGAAACATAAATATAATGAAACTTCAATCTTATTTAGAAGTAGAATCAGCTAAACTGTAGTAAAAAATAATTCTCTACTTCATACGTACACACACACCCCATTTTTTTCTCCCCACGTTTTTTCATCTGTGGTAATGGCACCTCTATCTACCTAGTTGTTCAGGGGAAAAACCTTGGAGTCATCCTTGCCTATTCACTCTCTTAGACTCCATATCCAGCCTGTCTGTCCTTCCAACTCTACCTTTGAAAGAGATCTTTAATCTGTCCACTTCTAGTCCTCCACTGCAGCCCCTTTTGGTCCAGGTTGCCATCATCTCTTCCCTGAGCTAGAGTAGCCTCTTTGTCCCACTACATCCTTAAAAACAAATCAGAGTACATCACTCCCTTGCTCAGAATTTCTCAAGATTTCCCCCTACACTCATTCATTACATCCTCCCTTCTCTGACGATGCTCCAACCACACTAGTGTTCCAACTATTCAGACACACTGAGTTCGATCTTTGAATTTGCCATCCCTCTACCTATCTAGAATACTCTTCACACAGACCTCTGCACAGCCTGCTCCCTCATTTTCATGGGGCATCCTCTCAAACTGTCACCACCTTTCCTTCACTTTCCTGCGTCCCACAATCCCTCTTTACTTCTTTCCTGCTTTTACATTTCTTCATGACACTTAGCTCCATCTGACGATATGTTACTTGGACTATTAACTGTCTCTACCATTGGGAGGTAAGCCCAGAGAGCAGAGATTTTTTACTCTTTGGTTTACTATTCTGTCCCATAAAACAATTCTGTACATAAAACAATCCCTAGCACATACCAGCTACTCAAAATGTTTATGTGATGAGAATGACTGACCACTACTAACTTATACTGACATCAATAAACCTGGATTAGAGCTTCATCTGTGCTATTATTTTTATATCCTAGACAAGCCAGTCAGTTCCTTCTGTTTTATGGAAGGGAAAGTAAATAAGTATTGTTAATTTCAAAGGTTATTGAAAGGATCAAATGATAAGGTGGGTGTGAAAGACCTTTTTAAAAATGGAAACTGCCATAAATGAATCACTGGTCCTCAGAAACAAGTCATTAACTACACAAATAATATAAAAAGCAATACATACAGCCAGCTGCAGTGGCTTCCTGCCTGTAGTCCCAGTTACTCAGAAAGCTAAGGCAGGAAGATCACTTGAGCCCAGGAGTTTGAGGCTGTATTGTGCTATGATCACACCTGTGAATAACCACTACACTCCAACCTGGGCAACATAAGTGAGATCTCATCTTTAAAAATAAAAAAATAATACAAATTTAAATTAAAAAAGCAATTTGTTGGCCGGACACAGTGGCTCACGCCTGTAATCCTAGCACTCTGGGAGGCCGAGGCGGGCGACTGCTCGAGGTCAGGAGTTTGAAACCACCCTGAGCAAGAGTGAGACCCTGTCTCTACTATAAATAGAAAGAAATTAATTGGCCAACTAATATATATAGAAAAAATTAGCCAGGCATGGTGGTGCATGCCTGTAGTCCCAGCTACTCAGGAGGCTGAGGGAGAAGGATTGCTTGAGCCCAGGAGTTTGAGGTTGCTGTGAGCTAGGCTGACGCCATGGCACTCACTCTAGCCTGGGCAACAAAGCGAGACTCTGTCTCAAAAAAAAAAGCAATTTGTTAACATCTGGAAATTTGGTTCCAGTTTTTAAATTTATAATTGTACATATTTATGAGGTATAAAGTGATGTGATTTATGAATACAATGTAGAATAGTTAACTCAAGCTAATTAGCATATCCATCACCTCAAATACTTAAATCATTTTTAGTAGTGAGAACATTTGAAATGTACCTTTAGCAATTTCAAATGCACAGTACACTTTTTAACTGTATTCATCATGCTATGCAGTAGATCTCAAGAAAACATTTATTCCTCCTGAGACTTTGCACCTTTTGACCATCATCTTCCCATTCCTCCTACTTCCAACCTCTAACCACCACTCTACTCTCTGCTTTCATGAATTTAATTGTTTTAGATTCCATACAAGTGAGAACATGCAGAATTTCTCTGTGCCTGGCTTATTTCACTTAGCATAATGTTCTCCAATTCCATCCATGTTGTTGCAAATGACAGAATGTCCTTTTTTTTTTTTTTTTTTTGAGACAGAGTCTCGCTTTGTTGCCCAGGCTAGAGTGAGTGCCATGGCGTCAGCCTAGCTCACAGCAACCTCAAACTCCTGGGCTCAAGCAATCCTGCTGCCTCAGCCTCCCGAGTAGCTGGGACTATAGGCATGCGCCACCATGCCCGGCTAATTTTTTTTATATATATATTAGTTGGCCAATTAATTTCTTTCTATTTATAGTAAAAACAGGGTCTCGCTCTTGCTCAGGCTGGTTTCGAACTCCTGACCTCGAGCAATCCGCCCGCCTCAGCCTCCCAGAGTGCTAGGATTACAGGCGTGAGCCACCGCGCCCGGCTATGTATGTATATATGTTATACTGTCTTTATTCATCTGTTGGACACTTACGTTGATTCCATAACTTGGCCATTATGAACAGTGCTGCAATTAATATGGGAGTTCAGACATTTCTTCAACAAACTGATTTCAAATCTTTTGGATAAATACCCAGAAGTGGGATTACTGAATCTGGTCCCAATACTAAAGCCAACAAAATAGTCCCACTCATTCTTTTCCAAATACATTTAATAGCTAGCAGTAATGACACAGGTGAAATACTACTTTATTTTTATTATTATTATTTTTTTAATTATAAATATTATTTCTCTACTTTTTTTTAGTAATTGGTCCTGTTGCAGTGATTGATGAAATACTACTTTAATATTAAACATAACACCTATGCAGTCTTGGGATAAACTTCTTGATTATAATGGCTTTTTTTAATGTGCTGGTTTAGTATTAAGATTTTTTTTTTTAACTTTATTTTTCTTTCCCAGAAACACAGATTCAAGTAGATCTGAATATATACTCCCCAAGACTTTTTTTAGTGTTAACATTTTTTCTGTGACGTAACAAGGATTAAAAAATAGGACACATCTTTAGAGGAAAAATGTAATTTATATCTGTGGAATATGAAATTAAAATAAATTACAGAATATACTGGCAAGTGTCTATAAAAACAAAAAGTATAAATGTTGATAGCAAGCAAGTAGCCACAGATGAAGACAATGAAGTTGAAAGTATACAACTGGTTTGTCTCTATCCTAAATTAGGAAAGCTGAAACCATGGGGGCAATCTAAAGAAAATAATTCTCTGAATGAACATGTAAACAGAGTTAACTTCCACAAGAAAACTTACAAACAACCTCGTCTCCAGACCAGGTAAGTACATACTTATTCAGTTTTATAGTTCTTTTAATTTCAAAAGACTGTCTATATAAAACAGCACCTCTGAGGGATAGTCTCAGTATAGTGGTGTTTAACACATTAACTGCCATGTGAGTTGTATGTAACTCATGCTACTTTTGAGCCCGGGGCCTCATGAAACATATCTTATTCATGAATTCCTAATCAGTAGGTTTGTGGTGAGATCCAACCATCTGCACTGTTCCCAAGGCTTTCCAGGTGATTCAGAAGAAGACCTGGATTCACAGTACTGCTCTTGCATAACATATCTGACCAAACAGTGCACATGGATATCCCTCCAGACACCAAACCTCAAGTGCCCAGGGAACCTAGGTATGCAGGCAGATGTAAATTCTTCACTCAAGGAAACTGGGCTTACAAGTTGTCAAGGCCATTTCAGGGGAAAAACACCCAGGAGGGTCCTTAGAGATTTCCTTCAGCATGAAAACCAACTTAAAGCCAGAGCTCAGCCTGGGCTTCAGCTGGTTCTGGTTGAGTCTAGGTTCCCGGACTGGAGCTCTCCTGATACTGATACAGGGCTACTTATCATTTGACTGTTGCCTATATCCAGCTGCCACCAATGCCTTTACCAACTGTGTTTATTAAGTTAGTTAACATGATACTGGGCTTTTCCTTTCTTTTTCTGTTTAATCCCCTCCAGTGAAAAACCTAGTGGCTTGAATCAGAAGACCCCCACAAGCCCCCTGTTCTAGTTCTAGCACTTTCACTAGACTGTGATTTTGAGCTTGACTTTTGACTTTGATTTCTAGGTGTAGAGGTATAGAGATTTCTCATTTAAAACAAACTTCTAAAGCTCACTTCGGCAGCACATATACTAAAAATTAGAACAATACAGAGAAGATTAGCATGGCCCTAAAAAATAAATAAATACAACTTTTTAAAAGTACAGGAGTTGGATTCAATCACCAAAGTGCTTTCTGTTTCCAGTTCCATGCAGAATTTTAGAATGCTGAATTAACAAAAAGGAAAATACCAATTCCTAGCCCTTTAACACAACAATGACTAACAGGTGTCAGACTACTAGGCAAGCACAGTGCCCTGTAAGAGTCTGTTTTACACAAGTGTGCTAGATGTCATTTTAAGTTTGGATATTAGTTCAACAATAGTTGCTTTAAAGTGTCTGTGGTAGAACTTCACTAGAGCCTAACGTGTGACTTGTCCCTCTTAGGGAAGAGCAACGGAAGAAACATGAGCAAGAACGAAAGGAGAAGAAAGCAAAGGTTTTGGGAGCACGAAGGGGCCTCAGTATGGCTGAAGACTAGTAATTTTTGAACGTCTTGTCAATTCCTTCATTCTGAACTTGTTTTCCTTTTGTAAATATTTTTATACTGTCTTCCTCACTTTAATCAAAATATCTTTTTCTACTGTTAACTATTCATAATCTACATAATGTCCATGGGTTTTTCATGTGCTACATCTCTGAAAAGACATCACCTTAAAGCTCACAAATTCAAATTCTTTGAAATGGTTTTTAGCTAAGTCAGTTTTCTAAGGAGAACCATCTTAGAGATCCTTAACCTAGATTCTTAATGTCAAGTTCCCCTGTTGGTTCTGATATTAACAGACCTGCAGTCCTCTTCTAGGCAGTAGCACTTAACTGATGGCAACTAGTTATACAAGCTTCAGTAGAATTTGAACAAGCTAAAAATAGGGTAAGCTAGGATAGAAAGGCCACTGCTGCATCCTCTAGTCAAGAGAATCTAGTAATCTTAATAAATCTGGACTATATGGTTTGGTTATAGCATCAATATTTTACCTAGGTGAAAAATGTTTTGTTTATACTTATATGTATTTTGCTCAGCTCACTTCATGTAATTGTTGTTACTCATTATATTGTTAAAAAGAGAACTCTATAGTTCATTCTAGCCTTGCTTATTTTAAAATAAAAGCTACAGGGCTCTACTGAAGTAGGAGGATTACTGCTTTCTGGATTACCATGCTCCATCATACACTTATCTTACACATTTTATGGAAAAAAATAGAGTTGCTTAGCACCACATGTTCCTTGCACCTCAGTAGAGCTAAGTTTTGTGCTGCTCAAGATCGTCATAAATAAATTTTTTTTCCTCATTATAGATTCATTCTTTGTAAATAGTCTTCCAAGATTTGATTGACCAGCTAAGCTTAGTAAGAGTTTCTATGTACCCTCTATGCATCCTTTCCTGACCACTATATCCACCCCAAGAAGAAATGGCTGTAGGCTTCCTTTATCTTCCCACAGCACTTCTCAGGCTTTATTAAGTTTCCTGTTTTGTATATGGGTCTTTAGAACATAGCACACTCTTAGGTACTTAAAAAATTCAAATTTTCCTATCAAAAGGCAAATATCAGATCAATGAAGAAAGCTCTGAGTTAACTACACTTCTGATAGGAACATAAAATGGTACAACCACTTTGGAAAACTGTTTGCTAGTTTCTTAAAAAGTTACTGACTGGGCACAGTGGCTCACGCCTGTAATCCTAGCACTCTGGGAGGCCGAGGCGGGCAGATTGCTCGAGGTCAGGAGTTCGAAACCAGCCTGAGCAAGAGCAAGACCCTGTCTCTACTATAAATAGAAAGAAATTAATTGGCCAGCTAATATATATAGAAAAAATTAGGCGGGCATGGTGGTGCATGCCTGTAGTCCCAGCTACTTGGAAGGCTGAGGCAGAAGGATTGCCTGAGCCCAGGAGTTTGAGGTTGCTGTGAGCTAGGCTGATGCCACGGCACTCACTCTAGCCTGGGCAACAAAGCGAGACTCTGTCACACACAAAAAAAGTTACTGTGTATCTACCCTGTGATCTAGCCATGCCACTCTTAGGTAGTTACCTAAGAGAAATGAAAACATTATGTTCCTAAAAATACTTAAATGTTCATAGTAGCTTTATTTGTAATAGCCAAAAATTGACAATAAGCAGCACAACTCACAATTGCAAAGATGTGGCAACTGCCCATCAATACATGAGTGGATTTAACAAAAGGTGGTGGTATATGTATATCATGGAGTACTACTCAGCCATTAAAAAATGAACTAATACCTTTTGTATTAACCTGGATGGAACTGGAGATCATTCTTATAAGTGAAGTATCACAAGAATGGAAAAATAAGCACCACACCATTAAAGTGGAACTAATTGAACAACACTTATGTACACATATGGAAATAAAACTCATGAGAAATCAAGCAAGTGGGAAGGGATGAGTAAATTCACACCTAATGGTTATAATGTGCACTATCTGGGTGATGGGCAAACTTAAAATTTTGACTCAAACTGTACAAAAGCAATTTATATAACCAAAACATTTTCAACCCCATGATATGCTGAAATAAAATTTTAAAAATAAAAGAAAACCAAAAAATTGGGAATAACCCAAATGTCCATCACCAGGTGATGGACTGATACTCTGGTATCTCCATACAATGGTATGTAACTTAGAAAAGAAAAAGAAAACTACGGATATATAGTAGAGCACATGCATGAATCTCAAGTAACTGCTGAAACAAGCCACAACAAAAAATAAGTATAAACTATATGATCCTATTTATATTAAACTCTAATAAACTATAGTGATAGAAAGCAGATCAGGGATTGCCTGGAGGTGGGTGGGTAAGTAGGACTGAAATCATTTTTTGTTTTTTTTGAGACAGGGTCTTACTCTGTTGCTCAGAATAGAGTGCAGTAATGTGATCATAGCTCACTGCAACTTCAAACTCCTGTGCTCAAGTCATCCTTCTGTCTGAGCCTCCCAAGTAGCTGGGCCGACAGGTGCACACCACCTTGCCCCTACTTTTTCTATTTTTTTTGTAGAGACAGGCGTCTCATTATGTTGCTCAGGCTGGTCTCAAACTCCTGGCTTCAAGCGATCCTCCAGCCCCAGCCTCCCAGCACCCAGTGCTGCGGCATGAGCCACTGTGCTGGCTGCAGTCATTTTGTCTTGATGGTTTCAAGGGCATATGCATGTCGAAAGTAAATTATCCACATTAAATACATACAATTTAGTGTGGTCAATTATCCTTCAATAGAGCTGTTAAAAAATAAAAACAGCATGGTCTTATATAAATAAAATCCTTACGAATTCACTAAAATGCTACTAAAATTAATAAGGTCAGTAAGGTTGCAGGATATAAGACCAATACTGGCCTGGTATATGGTGTGGTAGCCCACACCTATAATCCCAGTGCTCTGGGAGGATGAAGTGGGCGAGATTGCTTGGGGCCAGGAGTTCAGGACCAGCTGGGCAACATAGCAAGACTCCATCTCCACAAAAAATGAAAATAATCAGCTCGATGTGGTGGCATGCACCTGTGGTCCCACCTACTCAGGAGGCTGAGGCAGGGGGAATCACTTGAGCCCAGGAGTTTGAGGCTGCAGTGACCTACAATTGCACCACTGCACTCCAGCCTGGGGATGGAGTAAGACCCCATCTCACTCTAAAACAGGCAAATTTTGTTATATACATTATACCTCAATAAAGCTGTTAAAAAAGATAATTACATAAAAATATACAAAATGAACTTTAGCCCAAGATGTTGAAAGGCCCAAAGTTAGCCCAAAAGTTGTTAGCTTTGTATAGCTCTTGTTTCTTTGTAAACTTGGCTCAGGGTACTCCAGCTGCATTATTGTTTCCTATTTCCTCTCTCTAAGCTGACAAGAACTGATCAATTTAAACTGTGTTAATCAGGGTCTTATTCTTGGCATATCTAATCTCTAAATCAGGGGTCCTCAAACTTTTTAAATAGGGGGCCAGTTCACTGTCCCTCAGACCATTAGAGGACCGGACTATAGTTTTAAAAAAACTATGAACAAATTCCTGTGTACACTGCACATATCTTATTTTGAAGTAAAAAAACAAACAGGCAAAAATACCTGCATGTGGCCCGCAGGCCCTAGTTTTAGGACTCCTGCTCTAAATACTTAAAATGACTGGGGAAGCTTTGGGGATAGTAAGTAGTCTAATCCTTTTAGTTCCTCCAGTGGTTACATTAGAAGTCACTATATAGTAAGAACTAGCAAAGATTATGTATCTTTGGAGGACAAGGTCTGTTAAGTAGGTATCTCACTTCCCAGGTACTTCTATGGCATCTTTATTCTTTAGCCGTATTCTTTCCACAAAGATAGGTTGGAAAATAAAAGAAACCTGAAAGGAACAGAATGGTAGAAAGCCATCAACAGTCATCTCAGAGACTCTTTGCTTTGGAAACCATCTACACATGTAGGAAATGTTCCTAATAGGAACCATTCTGACCAAAAATAGTTATTTACACAGTTCCTCTGCATCAATACTTGCATTCTATGAACTAAAGCATAGCTCAGAACCTGGTTTCATGCTGTGTTCCCCTTATCTGGGCCCTCTTAGCAACAGCATTTAGACTTGTCTTAGGGTTTCATATCAGACATTGGTTGGATGCCATTAAAGAAATATTTTATTTTGTCTGTACCACTGCAGATGCTATTACCCTTAGTTTAGTAATGCAAAACTACACATCATCTTTAGTTGAAAAGTCTTGGGCTAATCTCCGGAGAATTTTCATAGGCAAATTCTTCTATGTGGGCTGGATCACTAAACACTCCAATAAAATCAATTTCCAAGAAGAATGGACCATCCACTTTATCAGCCAAGGTAAATCCTATGGAAGAGATCTAAATTTAAAATAAGAGAAACTGATTAAAATCTCATACACTGATATACTGATGTTATTCCTAGAGTTTTAAAATCCCATGAGGTGATTACCAAAACTGTGTCTTTATACTATTAGCCCTTAGAAAATATACAGTAGTTCTTATATACTGTAACAAATTATAAGAGGAAGCCCAAGACTGCTTTTCTTTTCACATTCTACTTCCTATCCTCTCCCTTTCAAGTGGTGCCATTTACGACTAGTAAGGACAATGAGGATGCCTAATGGAGGTTCTTTGAAGCTCTCTTAAACTCTTAGTTTTTTTTTTTTTTTTTAAGGCTGGTCAAGTGGAGCAGTGGGAGTGGAGAAGGAACAAAGGGATCTGTAACTGGTTGTGATCAATTAGTTGTATACACCACTGCACTCGGACCAACCTAAACTCTTAGTTTAAAGCTAAAATAAAATTTAGGCATGCTAAAAAAAATGGTCATATTAAAATTCCTCCAAGATGGGGATTTAGCTCACAAGACAGGTCTGAGTCAGCATGTCTTGGTATAATAGCAGTGGCTAGTGGCCCTGAGTAGGAATTTTCATTTTTCTTTTCTTTCTTCCTTTTTTTTTGAGACAGGGTCTCACTCTGTTGCCTGGGCTAGAGTGCCGTGGCATCATCATAGCTCAATTCAACCTCAAACTCCTGGGCTCAAGCAATCCTCTTGGCTCAGCTTCCTGAGTGGCTGAGACTATAGGTGTGTACCACCATACCTGGCTAATTTTCTTTCCTTCCTTCCTTCCTTCTTTCTTTCTTTTTTTGAGAGATGGGGTCTGCTGCTTTGTTGCCCAGGCTAATCTTGATCTCCTGGCCTAAAGCAATCCACCCACCTTGGCCTCCCCAAGTGCTAGAATTACAGGCATGAGCCACCGCACCCAGCCAGAATGATCATTTTTCATCTGTTAGCCTTCCAGCATAGACTCAATCATATGAGTTCTGTTTCACTAAAGATGATATTGTTCTGAGTGAAAAGCACAGGAAAATGTTACCTTGTCAAGCAGAAGCTGAGACTGAACATCCCGGATTCTTCCTTGATTGGAGAAGAAAAATTTAGAAAAAGGAATCTGAAAAAAAGAAACCATTTACTTGAAATGTAAGTAATATAATGACAAAAGAATAGTCATTTAAATTTATTCTAAAATTATTTAATATATGCAGCATCAGGGATTTGTTTTTTTATTTTTTAGAAACAGGATCTTACAATGTTGCCTACGCTGGAGTGCAATGATGCAATCAGAGTTCACTGCATCCTTGAACTCCTAGGCTCCTTCTGCCTCAGCCTCCAAAGGAGCTAAGACTATAGGCACATATCACCATATCCAGTTAATTTTATTTTTCTTGTAGAGATGGGGTTCTTGCTATTTTTGCCCAGCCTGGTGTTGAACTCCTGGTCTCAAGCAATCTTCCTGCCTCAGCCTCCC